TGTGTGTTTCTTTTTTCAGAAAAGAAAGATGCGCTGGATCGTGTGGCTCACACGAAATGCTTTTTGGGTTCAAACCAAGATTTTAGGTATTGGCTTAAAAATAGGGTATTCGCCTAGGGATATTGAACAACCTGTCATTTTTATATCTTACTATCAGATATTGCCTCATGCTCTATGTCGAGATGATAAATTAAAATTTTGAATATTGTGGTTTTATTTATTGAAAAAAACTATTCAAATGGTAAATAAATTAATTTTCCACAGATTTAGTGACAGCATGCCCACTCTAAGCAAAGGATTATATCATTTTGAGTATTTAGTTTTTTAATTTTAAAATCATATATATTTTAAATTCCCTAGATACCCATAATGCATTTTATTGATAGAAAAAGTTATTATAGATAACTTTAAAATCACAAAATCTATTTTGAAGCATTTAAAAATGAATTTACTGTAGAAAATTAAAGTTAATTAATGGTAATTTTGCAAAAGGTGTATTCTAGATTTCTAGTGTATAACTCCTTATAGGTTTCTATCATTTTTGGTATTCATATCTAAAATGCTATGAAAAAAATAGTATTTAAAATATCAGATATAAAGATTATTTTGGACGTAAGAAAGAATATACAAAAAAAATAATCAATGTAGTTCACATTTAGAAAATTTATATTTTAAAATTATTGAAGTTCTGGTAAAAAATAAATATTATAAATAAGATCTAAAAATAGATAATTAGAACAAAGCTTTTAAACATTCTCTGGTAATTTTTCTTTTAGTATTAAAGATATATTGCACGCACATAAAACACGAACACAAGCGTGAATTTCCATGTTTTGGCGATGGATTTTGTTGGAAAAGTTGGAGTTAAGTGATATCATCGTGGTTTGAGGGCTTACGTTGCCACCATAATTACGACCTAGTAGTATCTTAACGACAGCTTTAGTAAGATAAAGGCATATATACGTACGTAGCAAACACACACATGCATGCATTATCATTATGCATCTGAAAACAAAATATAACGATTAACGAAAGAAAAGCTGAGATGAGATTGTGGTTCATGAAATTTCAAACTCCGTACGATTGATCATACACAAAGATCCTTTTAACGTGTTCACAGTAGCTTCCACAACAGAATTATAACCCTGCAATGGCGAAGCATCCTCTTCTCTTCTTTTTCTAAAAAAAATATTACTTGTTTCTTACATATTAGAAAAAAAATGTTATATGTCCGACCGAATTCATCAGGAATAGTCCTCTTGGTTAAGGGAAATACTCTTGAGATTCTATTATTTTTTTCCGGTTTTTTTATGCTTACCTGTTTGTGTGTTGTTTCGTATAAAATTACAATCTTTAGCATCTAATCAGAATTACTGGTAAATCTTCAACACAAAAAGCCAAGCACAAACGAGTAAATATAGTTTGTTTTGCGTTTGGCGTTTATGTTTCTTTTAAAACAAAATGCAATAATTAAAGCCACAGTCCTCATTTTCGAAAAAAAACATTAGAGGTTGGCCATGAATCATGATCAGTTTAATTAGTGAGATTACGGATTCAATACTATGAATTTTATTGATATACAAACAGATTAAATGTTTGGACCGTCTCGAGAACCAAACAGATCGCTGATAAGTGTTTCGTCTAGGAGCTAACACATCTCAACATAGTGAACCGTACGCAAGTGAATACCTGGGTGCATAAACGTATCACACCCATTATATTTTCAATCTAGCTCGAATGCTTATAAGGAATTTTAATGGCCCACAGAGAATGCGTGTATAATTTATTAAATACTCGTTTCCAATATCTGAATAGTCTTATATGGCCCACGAAGCAAATCAACAGGCAATATTACCACTCTTTACTTGATTAATGAGCTTTTTTTTTAGTTAAGTCTGCTTCTATAGTAATCTCTGCCTATCTGGTGTTCACCCTAACCTGAAGAAACTCTTCTTCTTCTTCTTCTTTTTTTTTTAACTCTTATCATTCACCTCTTTATAATTACAACTAAGAAATTTCAGATATACAATATGTAATTGTTTTAACTTTAGAATCAATTTTTGATGTATATGTGAAAACATAAATCATTAATATAATTAATTTTCCAAACTAAACCTTTAGTCAATCAAGTGAGGTCCCTTCGATGAAAAAAGTATAAGACTTCCAACATCATGTTCTTTAGATTAATAAATAAGCGTTGATAATAGATGCATTGATCAATGTTTTCTAACAGAGAGCTTAGGTTTTTTAAAAAATGGTTAGCCAAGTGAGATTGGCTATCATCTAATGGATGTATCAAACATTAAGGCCAAACGATCGTGCTTCCCAACTGAAGTTTTGAGTTAAAAGTTCAGTATTTTTGTAAATGGAGATCAAACAAACTCAAAGGGTATTGGTACACATAGATGCATGAAACTGAGTATATAAGCATATAAATATGATGATGTTGGGGTGTGTGTAAGAAGTAAAAATCCAAGAGTTAAAAAGGGGAGAGAGAGAGAGAGAGAAGGTTGATGTGGTTGTCGAGATGCTAACAGAGAGGCACATGCAAAGCTTAAATGATGGTATCGCTGGTGGCCAAAGCATCTCCTTAAAGCTGTCCTTTTTCATCTTAAGTCCTCTTTTTTTATTTCCCCTTTGCTACCGCTTCTCTCTTTCTCTCTCTATATTTACATACATATATTTATATACTAATGTGTTAATCAACTTGTGTAATATATAGTTATATACCTTACTTATGTGCAGTTGTGCACGTATGCATACCTAAAAGTGTATCAATTAATTAATTTATTATATATATAATCTCCTTTTTCGAGTTACAAATACGTTTGAAGATAACTCACCAAAAAAAATACGTTTGAAGATAATATTCAAAACTCTATGAATCTTGATTTAGACGGTCGAGATAAAATGTTTGGTTGGTTGAAGATAGGTTCCGTTCCGCCCCTAATATATCTTATACAAAAAGATAAGATCATCACGAATATGTGCTCAATTCCTTTTCCATAAAGTTGGGTATTAAATTATGAATTTTATCTAGAAATTTTAGAGGGGTGTATATAGTGTGCTATTTTCGTGATAAAAGTAAATAATGCATCCAAAATTCAAATGGATCATTAACACGTTTTGGTATATACTTCACAATTTGTCAAACCCGTAATTAATTGCGCCAAACAAGAAAAATTGATCTTATGTGGCAAAAGTAAATCACATATATGGCAGTGGGAAGAAAAAAGGAGCTTATATTTCCCCCCTAAAATAGACTAAAGTAATAAACCTAAATTTCTCTGGAAAGAATAATGTATATTATAAAATCTCGAAGCCGACAAAAAACTAAGGAAAAAAAAAACAATTTACCGAATAAAGAATATTATAAAAAATACAGGAACAAGGAGAGAGAAATGTGTTGTTATAAAAGATAAAGCCCACTAAAGGTCATCACTCATATAACTGTTTACTATTATTTTCTTCGAGGCAATATATATAAATTTACCTGATCTAATATTTTATTTTCACTAACGGTTAGTCCTGGTATACGTTTGTGTAATATTTAACACAACCTAATGAACTAACTTCTAAATATATGTGTGTTAATACGTATAAATCTAAAGGAAAAAACAAACATTAGCTACGTTCAAGAATAAAACACAATAGCTGTCTAACAGTCAAATTCCAAATCTATATTTATATTGATTATGTAATTGAAATTGATAAACAAAGTAGAGTCAACATCCAATTAATTGCTTTATAAAATATCGAATATGCAAAAGGTCTAAAGTAAAACAAACTTTTTTTGTGTTGTTAAACTTTGCTTACATCATAGGTATCCCATTAGGTTGGTGTACCATGTGATGATTCTACCACCGAAAAAACAGAAATCAATATTAAAAATACATCTATATAGTACATATATAATAATTCAAGGATTATTGTATATATATATATATATATTTAAGAAAAAACTAAATAGGGTTATGTGAACCAGATTTTTTATACTTTTACTGTGGTAAACTTTGGAAAGGGAAAAAGAGTGTTAGGGTTAATATATATAATTCATTTATTGAGGAAATGGGCTCATCTAGGGTAACATCACCTACCCATACAATTTTATCATGCTTTTAGGGCTTTTATTTATCTCACTGGTCCCTCTACTTCTCCACTCTCTCTTCTCTCGCGTGAATTACACGCTCCAATCTCTCTCCTTCGTATGTGCCGACGCTCCTTACCTCTCCGCGCCACGGACGAAACGTGCCCACACGCGAAAAGTAAACGCCGTGATAACCACGCGCCTAGGGTTTTCTTTTTTTCAGGCAGGACACAAGTGAACGAAAATGGGCTGTGATAAGAACCGCACATTACGGCCACGTGGTTAATTCTCATTGGTTTCTTGTGCCCCATCCTATCACACACAAAAACGTCTAATACGAATAAATAATAATCGGTTTCTTTCCTTATACAAAAAAAAACAATGAGATCTCTTTCTTAATCTTGTTGTTTAATTTCTGGATACTGTTACCCTAATCCAGCTATTTATGATTAATGCTGGGATTTTTTTCTTAACTAAACATAAGACCTATTTCATAAAATTTTCTCCTTTTTTCATTTTTGACATATACAGATACAAATACAGATACAGAGATACAAATACAGATACGTGTACACAATAGAAGTAAAAAGATACGTAACATTGTTTCGTGTAATTGGAAATAGGCAGACCAGATGGTGACATGGCATTGTCATGTTCCATAGATGAGTTGTTATTTTTTTTTTTAATTACAATAAATTAATAAATGATTATTTTATTGAGATTAAAACCCTTATATCGACGCAAGCAAAAAAAAAACCCTCATTTCAAGGATAAGAGAGCTCCACTTTCTCTCTCTTATTCTTTCTCCAACAGTCTCTCTCTACAAGCCAAAGAAAAAAAAAAGTCCCCCTTTCTCTCTCCCTCCCCTTTCGTCTCTTAGGGTTTCTCGAAAATTCGCAGTCAAATTCTACTCATCTCCCGACGAATCGATCCTCGAAGCTCCTCTAATCTTCTTCTCCATAACTTTCTCAATCTACCGATACAGTTTTTATCCCTTGCCGCTTAAGATCCAGCTCGAATCTCGTATTCGCTTTTTTTCCCTAATTTCTGGTCGGATTTATACAGGTGCGTGGTTTCCGACATAAATCTCAGATGTCTTTCGATTTAAGGTTTCAGCTAAGGTTTGATCTTGTTGGGTCGAGATTTGGTCTGACTTGTAGCTGACTTCGTGTCTTTTAAGCTTCACTGTTCATTTATACGTCTCTTCTTCGGAAACTCGATGTTCTTACTTTTTTTTTTTTTTTTTTGGGTTTCGTCTTCACGGACTATTCACGTGCGGATAGATCTGACCCGTATTAATTGGTGGGTCTTGGTTAATCTTTGTTAATCACATACGGTTAATTTAAGTGGTTTATTATCTATTAATTTTGTTCTAATTTTGATTTTAAACCCTAAATTACGCTGATTAATAATTTGACCTTTCTTGGGGTTTGTAATTCGTAAATTATATTGAATCGGGTCCGATCCTCTTATTTTTTGCTGGTCATGTTGATAAAGGTTACATCTTTGGGGGTTTCTCTTGTGTCTGAAAACCCTAATTTTAGGTCAGTGTTTTAAATTTAGGTTTACTTACATGTTAATTGTTAAATGTATAAATTTCACTTGCACGATTAATTTTTGTGATATTAGCCTAATTGAAATGAGATGCTAGTATAGAATTTCGTTCTTGATTTTATGTAGACTTTAGGGTTTAAAATTTTTTATTTGCCGTGGAATTGTGAAGTTTGATGTTGGTTATGACTGTTATTTTATGTGGATATTCATGGAATATGCTTGAACATTATGTTATAAAATTAGTTATATTTATTGCCTAATGAAAATTAGAGTTATATTTGGTGTCGTTTATATGGAAAGTTAAGATTAATGTCTTGATATGCAACAATAATGTGATCATTAAGCACAATTATACGGTGTGTTATATAACTTGAATGTTAACATTTCGTGATGCTAACAATTTTTTGATGTGTTACTTATGTAGCTCTAGTTGCGGAGAGAGTATAATGGTGTATTGAAGTTAATCATCACTGAGGCATAGTATCTCCTTCAAGCAAATAAATGGGATCATCCATCAAGATCAACTCAATATCCATAGATCTCGCAGGCGCTGCCAACGAGATTGATATGGTGAAATGTGATCATTTCTCCATACGGTGAGTATAATTTATTGACCTCTCTTGTTAGAGTATGTTTATATTTTCGAATAAGTTTGTTTATAATGTGTGTTTAATGTCACTTCCCAAATGCATATGTATAGTAGCAAGCTACAAGATAGATGACATGAATAACGAGTTTTTCTTCTTCTGAATTAATGCAGTGGATTCGTAGCTGAAACCCGTGAGAGAGACCTTAGAAAATGTTGGCCTTTTGCAGAAGAGAGTGTTAGTTTAGTGGACCAACAAAGCTATTCTCTTCCTTCTTTATCTGTTCCAAAGTTTAGATGGTGGCATTGTATGAGCTGCATCAAAGATATAGATGCTCATGGGACAAAAGGTATTGATTGGACCTATTGGTATATCACATTTCCAATATTGTTTTCATGTTTCTAAAGACATATATACTTTATCTACTTGAACTTATGCATTTGAGTTGCTTCCAGATTGTGGACTGCATTCAAACTCAAGAACTATTGGAAACTCTTCGGTTATTCCAAGTAAAAGCAAATTGAATTCGCTTACTATCATTGATCACGAGAAAGAAGAGAAAATTGATATTGCAGGTATGCATCTGCTGAGTGCTGGTTTAGTTTTATAATCGATAGCAACCTTAATCATTTGTGTATTATCATGTTTTTCAGGTAATGCTGTTGAGGAGAATGTGGGTGTTAACTGTGAGAGATCTCAGAAGGATGATCAGACAGGTAAAGTTTTCTCTGGTCAAGCAAATTTAAGTGTGCACATGAAGTGGAATACTAACTTCTTAAAGCTCAACAGCTGCAGCTACTACGTTTCTCAAGAAAGTTCGTGCTCGACCTATGGATGCTTCTACTGTTAGGAGCAAGAGCAGAAAGCTCGTGAGTCCAGAGCAGGTAGGCAACAAGAGATCTAAAGAAAAAGTAAACAAATCATCGATGGATATTAGCAGCTGGAAAGATCAGAAACAAAATGTGGATCAGGCTGTGACAACTTTCGGGTCATCTGAAATTGCTGGTGTGGTTGAGGATACACCGCCTAAGGCAACCAAGAATCATAAAGGCATTCGTGGTCTGTTGGAATGCGATAACGGGTCATCAGAGAGTATAAATCTTGCTATGAGCGGGTTGCAGCGTAGGAAATCTCGCAAGGTTCGTCTACTCAGTGAGTTGCTTGGTAATACGAAAACCAGTGGTGGTAGTAGTATCAGAAAAGAAGAGTCTGCTTTGAAAAAGGAATCGGTTAGAGGGAGGAAAAGAAAGTTGTTACCTGAAAACAATTATGTCAGCCGGATATTGAGTACAATGGGCGCAACCTCTGAAAATGCCTCCAAAAGTTGTGACTCTGATCAAGGTAACAGTGAATCAACTGATAGTGGGTTTGACAGAACTCCATTTAAGGGTAAGCAGAGAAACAGAAGATTTCAGGTTGTTGACGAGTTTGTACCATCACTTCCTTGTGAAGCTTCACAAGAGGGCATCAAGGAGAATGATGCAGATCCCAGTAAGAGATCAACTCCTGTGCACTCTTTATTCACTGGAAAAGATTTGGTTCCTTGTCCTCCGAGTACTCAGAGAACAGAGAGGAAGCCCAGTTTAGCCAAGAAGAAGACAAAGAAGCCTGTAATAGATAATGGGAAGAGCACCGTGATCAGTTTTAGTACCGGCATTGATGGAAATCCAGTTAAATCGCAAACTGGTCCTTCCATAAACACAGTTTCCCAAACTCGAGACTTACTGAATGAGAAAATGGTGGGCAGTTTATTTGACAACCGTTTGGCTTCAGATGGATATTTCAGAAAATATATCACTCAGCCTAATGATAAGCCCATAACTTCTTTGCATTTGCAAGACAATGATTATGTGAGGTCAAGAGACGCGGAACCAAACTGTCTTCGAGATTTTAGTTCCTCTTCTAAATCCAGCTCAGGTGGATGGTTGAGAACTGGAGTTGATATTGTTGACTTCAGAAACAACAACCACAATACAAATAGATCGTCTTTCTCGAACTTGAAGCTAAGATACCCCCCTTCTTCTACTGAAGTTGCGGATGTATCTCGGGTGCTGCAAAAGGTACAAGCTTTGCATCTATGTTTTTAAGTTACCCGTCCAAAAAGTTGTTGTATTACAGTTTGTGAATGAGCTTTTTTCACATATGAGCGTCAAAATTCTCAGTTAGTTTCTTCAATCGCCATGCTTTTTCATTCTGTTTTCCAACTTGCACCTATTGTTGTATATTCCAAACTGGTGTGCTTCAGTGGTTGGAACAGAATAATAACGGGATTGATTTACTTGGCAGGATGCTTCTGGTGCAGACAGAAAGGGGAAGACTGTTATGGGCCAAGAATATCATGGAGCACCCAGAAGCCAAAGCCATGATAGAAAGGAGACTACGACTGAAGAGCAAAACAACGATGATATTCCCATGGAGATAGTGGAGCTCATGGCCAAAAACCAGTACGAGAGGTGTCTTCCTGACAAAGAAGAAGACGTTAGCAACAAACAGCCATCACAAGAAACAGCACACAAATCCAAGAATGCACTACTGATTGATCTCAATGAAACCTACGATAACGGGATCTCACTTGAGGACAACAACACATCAAGACCACCAAAACCGTGTGGTAGCAACGCAAGGAGGGAAGAATATTTTCCTATGGGAAAGCAGCAGAACTCTCATGATTTTTTCCCAATAAGTCAGCCTTATGTGCCTTCTCCGTTTGGGATCTTTCCTCCCACCCAAGAAAACCGAGCCAGCTCCATCCGGTTTTCTGGTCACAACTGCCAGTGGCTTGGGAATTTGCCAACTGTGGCTAATCAAAATCCTTCTCCATCCTCATTTCGGGTATTACGTGCTTGCGATACATGCCAGAGTGTTCCTAATCAATACAGAGAAGCTTCTCATCCAATTTGGCCATCTTCCATGATACCACCACAGAGTCATCACAAGCCAGTTTCTTTCAATATGGATCAGTCAACAAATTCGGGTACGCTTTCACAGGCATCTAACAATGAAAATACGTGGAACCTCAACTTTGTTGCTGCCAACGGGAAGCAAAAATGTGGGCCTAATTCAGAATTCTCATTTGGCTGCAAACATGCTGCTGGGGTTAGTAGTAGTAGTAGTAGGCCAAATGATAACTTTTCTAGTGAGAGCTCTATACCGGCATTGCATCTACTCAGCCTTATGGATCCTCGGCTGAGGTCAACCATTCCCGCTGACCAACAAGGAAACACTAAATTTACTAAAAGACATTTTCCGCCAGTCAACCAGTCCAAGGAATTTATAGAACTTCAAACAGGGGACTCTAGTAAGTCAGCCTACTCAACTAAGCAGATACCTTTTGATCTATACAGCAAGAGATTCGCACAGGAGACTTCCCGGAAGAGTTTCCCCATTATTGCACCTCTTGGGTCGTCTTCATTTTCATTTCAAAATGCTCAAGCTTCATGGAGTCCTCATCAAGAGAAGAAAACCAAGAGAAAAGACACCTATGCTCCTGTTTACAATACTCATGAAAAGTCAGTGTTTGCAAGCAGCAACGACCAAGCGAAATTCCAGCTTCTGGGAGCATCGAATTCCATGATGCTCCCTTTGAAATTTCACATGACAGATAAAGAAAAGAAACAAAAGAGAAAAGCAGAGAGCTGCAATAATAATGCCTCTGCGTGGCCTGTCAAGAACAGTTCTGGATCTATTGTGTGCAGCGTCAACAGAAACCCTGCTGATTTCACCATTCCTGAACCTGGGAATGTTTACATGTTAACGGGGGAACATCTTAAAGCCCGTAAACGCACAACCTTCAAGAAAAAGCCAAGCTTGTGTAAGCAGGACGCAATGAAGCAGACAAAGAAGCCGGTTTGTCCAGCAACAGAAAATGCCTAAAAGATATACAGCGTGGGAGGGATTTGTGCAGGTACGTTGCTAGGACTACCTATTTCTAATTCTTTTGTTTCGATTTCACTCTGTTCATCTTGAAATCAATGACAAAAGAAATCTGCACCTTACTTAGTGTTTCTTTTGCTTAGAACTGCAAAAGGTTAGTTTTTATGTTAAAGCTTAGGGTTTAGAACAGAGTTTTATCAGTCTCTTCATTAAAACTTTGTGTCCAGCTCTAACAAAACAGGTTTCTCTCTGATTCATTGTGAAACAGATACTGAGGCAGAGGGATTAACAGAGGAAGAGGGATACAGAGAGAGAAAGAGAGGCATTCCTATTGAAAACAAGAATAAGCCAGAGAGGAAAGAGTAAAATGCAAATCTTCCTCATGTTCTTGGTCTGTGGTCTTAAAACTCTACACATCTCATATCTTTTCTTATGTTTTGTTCAACCATACTCGGAACCATTCAGCTTGTGTATATATTCTGTAGTACCCCTCATAGGCCTTGTTTTTTTTTGGGAAATACTAGATACCTTTCTGCTGCGTTATATTTATTTAGTCTTATTATACTGTTGTGTTCAAATGTTCCTGTCAGAGACGAATTCTCCAATCTCGTAGTAAAACCTAAGAGAAACCCTCTTACCTTTTTCTTCTTATCGAAAAAAGACTATAACTTAAGATTCCGTAAATTAAATCTCCAGTCTGATCAAGAAAAGCTAAGGAAATGGTTAAGGTATACATTGAAATAATAAGTTGGGTATGTCGATACCACTACAACTCCGAGTATCATATGGCTGACTAGGTGAGGGTGGAGTAGAGGATCATTTTGAGTTAAGATCATAGGAGAACAAGGAATGATGTGAGCGATACAAGGTTCAAAGATTGAAAAGTTGGCGAATCGAGGAGAACAAAAAGGGTACTATATATTTGGGTGTAGTAAGAGAGAGGAGATGGTTCATATATAAACCGAGTGTGAGAAGAAAGTAAAGACGTTCATCGAATTTAACATAAACGGGAAAAGAAAATATGGGGATATTCTTAAATCTTAATCTAAGCAAAGATAAGAAAACCCATTTAGTGGATTGTGGATAGAAAAGCTAGTATCATAAACAAAGACAGTAATAAAATCCTAAGACGATTATATGAGATGGGGAGACGAGCGAAATATATTTCATTTGCCAGTTGAGCTAAGATACTGAATAAGTGTACATCCATCGGAAGTGCCTCAACCCAATTGGAGTTAGGTAGCTGAGCTTGAAAGAGGAGAGTTCAAAGTTGAAACAAGGTTGCATAGAGTTCGAAGAATTTTTTCTGGTACGTTCATAATCCATATTCACATGAAAAACGAAATCTCAATGCCTTGGGCCATAAAACCATGTACTCACCAGTATTGTCACTTTGGAACACATATTCATTAATGTTCTCTAGTACTGGTTTTGAATGATGATAAAACATATATAAAAGTATAAGTTATTTCTCTTTTTCTGACATAAAGTCATAACCCTATTTGACATGGGATTTATAACATGACTACTTGTAATGATCATTGAATCCCATTTTTTTTAGATTAGTCATATATAATTGAGTATTTGCGTTTATCAGGCTTTGATTGCATTTTAACTGGTAAAACTAAATCGTTGGGTTAAACATTGTATTGATCATGAATTATATGGAATACATAGAGGTTAATTATAACTTATAAGTAACGTGAGAATGAATACTGAGAACTTTTTTCTATATATAGCGGCTACAAAGCCCTTTCTATTCTATCGTGTAAACGTATAGCGGGAGCACCATTATTTTTTTTTGTTCAGACAACGGTGTTAAACGGGTAAGCTAAAAATTTGCAAATACTTTTTGAAAGAGTTAAATACATAATTTAAACATAAAAACTCGAGTTACGCCACTAGAACTTGATGAGCTGGAGAGAATCTGCAAACCCTAGCTTGTGTATAAACAAGGCCTTGCTTACAAAAGTAACCTTTGGAAGGGCTACAATGTCTGTCTTCTGAACACACACAATTTCCTTCCAGGGCACATCCGTCATACTTGGAAGCTTCTATTCCAAAGAGAATCTCATCAGACCATTCACTAGAGAACATCTTCTTAGGATCTAACTTGTTCTTCACTTCCAAGAATCTATCAAAGTTAGGTCCAAGCTTTTTCTTCACGCCAAAGAAACCCACTTTCCTATTCTTCCCCCAATGCGGCTTTGCGCCGTGTTTAACAAACGCCATCTGCTCCATCTCCTCCATCACATCTTGGTTCAACCTCGGGGTCAACTCATCGTCCGCTCGGTAATAATTAAAGTCAATAACCACAGAATCCTCTGTCTGGCCAAGATAAGCCTTTGAGCCCTTGATGAAACGTATGAGGATACCGTTATAGATGTCAATCCCGCATAGTCTTGCGGGTTTCAAGTCTCGAAGCTTCTTCACATCGAGGAGAAAATCTCTAAACCTAGAAACGGGGAATATAGCGGTCGTTTCATAGAAGAAAAGACCACTATATCTCGGGTCCCATGCGCAAGCCACATCAATTCTAATTGAAGATGAGTAAAGGCAAGACCCGGAAGTCTGGATCTTGCCTTGTCTCCCGATAACCGGATATCCAGTAAAGATTAAACCATTGTTCTTTAGACCGTTCCCAGTTAGTTTCTTGTAGGCCAACGTAGTATCCGCAGTGGTGCATTTTCCATTCTCGTTCTTGGTAGATTCAAGTCCCTTCTCTACAACATTTTCAAAGCCAAAACTTTGATTTTAAACATCTAAACCGGATTAAACCGAGAATATTGGTAATGTGGAGTCGTCTACTATAAGGAAAGATGAACTAACCTAATGCTCGAACCCCTCTAGAGATCAAGATAGGATTAGACTGAAAACCAGTAAAGTCGTTGACTCCGTTGCCGGAGACGTTGACCGGTGATCGGATATCGTAACGGTAAACCGCAGTTTTTCTGGAAGGATACCACGTTATGTCTCCGAATTCGAATTTCTTCCCATGCTCCATAAAAATGTCTTCAAGTGCTACGTCAGATGTGAAGTTATATGTCATACTTCTCTTAAATGCTTTCTCTATCGAAAGTTTCACCTACAGATAATAATATTATTTGCATAATATAATTGTTAACGGCGTTACGTCAAAAGTATACTATTGAATTAATAAAAAACACACACACACACAAAGTCAAAAACTGTTAACGGCGTTAAGTTAATATACTGTACCTTTGAGATGACTCCTAAAACACCCAACGACACTTTAACGGCGTTAAGAAGCTTATCATCTCTCCCTTGTTCAAGTCTAACAACCTTCGCGAAACCTTCCGATGAATTCGCCGGAACCACAAGGCTGATTCCGACAACATGGTCATGAACCGAACCGCCTCGTCCCGACCACGAGCTTCCGTGAGACCCTGTGCTAATCAGCCCACCGATACTCACTCCTTCCCAGTACGATGACGTTGCGATGCTAAACCCAGCTCCTTCAACTTTATCGATCAGCTCTCTCAACGAAACTCCAGAATCAGCCGTAACCGTTAACCGGTCCGGTTCAATCTCGATAACCGAATTGTATTTCGACGTACTAATTAACAATGCGTCTGAACCGGAAGGACAAGCGAGTTTCGGTATAGTGTGAGAGAATTTGGTGACGGTTTTGACTTTGAGATTATGCTCAGCCGCGTAAGCCACGGCTTTACGAAGCTCCTCCTCCGTCGTTGGATATGTGACGTTAGCCGCGTGGCAAGTTTTGCGGTCAGGCCACGTACCGTACGCGTTGGAGACGGTGCAGCCGGTTTGGTCGCATCGAACCGGTGGTTGTGGTGGTACAGATTGGACGGTCCATATAGTGACGAAGAAAGATAGAATTGAGAAATGGAGAGTATGAGAGTGACGCATGATTATGTGAAGAGATTATGTTAGTTTGATCTCTTGGATCTGTGATATTTTTTGTATAGGAGGTTATGTTACTTTTGTAGAGATGCGTTTGAAGATTGAAAAAATTGCTTCGAAGGAAAAAAATGTTGCCGGATTTTATTATATTTAAGTATGATATATCTTTTGTTTGTTGGTAAGGAGCTGAGGATATTTTAGTGTGACTTATCCTTTTTTGTCGCCGTTGATTTATCCTAAGAGGCTAGGGATAAAAAATTCGTATTCTAAGATCTGGGTCAAAACCTAAATTATGGAACATAGTGTAAGGTTACGATCTGAAATACTCACTAAGTATGTCATCATTCATATATTATATGTATAGATATACATGCACTTGTATGGATGTTGGTGTAATAGATGAAAAACAGTGTGGGTTTTAAAGAGAGAAAAGGCGGAATTTGACAAAATAATTGATCTGACAAAAAAGTACAAAAAGGGAAAGCATGTAGTGTTTGGTTTTAAAGCGCAATAAAATTAGGGTTTGTTGGTAATATAGTACGTTTATGAAACATAATAGGGAAAGTAGTACGGGTACTATTCACAATTAGATTTGTACCCATGGGTGTCACTGTTGTCTTTATTGTGAGACCCATTATGCCATTGAGGAGGCCTGATATTTACAGTTTCATGCCACTGAAAAGCGTAAATGTGGTTTTATTCAGGACTTCTTCTGAAAGGCTAACTGTTCAACTCCCTCCGAAAAAATCTCTATTCTTCTCAAATTCATCTCTCTCCGAGAAAATTTGACCTTTAATGACGAAGAAGAAAGCAGTTAAATCGAAGATTCAAAGCCCTGCAGTGAGTATAAAACAAGAACCCAGTCGGCGAAGCAAGAAATCTGATTTTGAAAAAGGTAATCCTTGAAAGTGGTTATCAAGAGACGAAAAAGTACTAGTTTCCGTCTAAGCTGAGGAAAACTGAGAGTTTCCTGAAAAGATTTACTATTCTGTACCTATGGCAGGAACTGTTTCGGGAGCAGTAAAATCTGCGGCGAAATCTCCGTCAAAATCGCCGACGACCATGTATGAAGAACCCACGCGACGAGGAATCAAAAGGGAGAATAAACGAGGCAACAGAAACGACCCTAAACAAGGTAATCGAATTAATAATCATTACTGTTGTTGATTTTGCCTCTGTCTCCCCAAATTGTTTGAAATTTGAGGGTTTCTGAAATGAATAATAGGAGATGAAAGAGGAATTGCACATTCTCCGGCAAAAACAACAACCGGAGAATATGAGGTTCCAAACCCTAGCCTACCTTGCCGTCTGTTGCATCCTGACGACTTACCAGATCGGGTTCGGCTTAACATATACTCGAAGCCGGAATATCTGGGGATTCTGGTGGAACTACTGGAGGGTTCAGAGGCTTGGGACCTGCTACTTGCTTCCCAGTTCAAAAAATTGTTTGAACTTCCTGTTGCAAGGTGTTCTCATTCTGCCAAGTTGATTCATGGTATGCTTTCTAGACAACTTTTGACTCAATCAAAGCATGAGTTGTGGACTGTATATGGAGGATTTCCACTCCGGTTCTCTCTCCGGGAATTCCAAATCACCACTGGCCTGATTTGTGATAAGATTCCATCGAGGACTGAGGTAGAAGATCACCAAGACCCTGCATATCTGTCTGTTTGGAATCGGCTCTTTGGGGAGAAGAGGATAGTGACAGTGCCGGAAGTTATTGACATGCTAAGGGGAGATTTTAATGCAGGTCTCAATGCAGATCTTAATGCAGATCTTAATGCAGATCCTCGAACCCGGTTCACAACCTGGAAGAAGCTGAGTCTCGCATTAATAGTGCTTATTGATGGGGTTGTTGTTTGCAGCAACAAAAAACAACATCGGGTAACTGACACTTTTGTTGAGATGCTTCATAATGTAGAATTCTTCATGAGTTACCCCTGGGGTAGAGTTGCTTTTGAAGCAACAATGGAACGGTTTGGCCCTCTTGCAAATGAGAAAGATCCTGTTGCAGAGCTGAAGGCCCGCCTACAGCAAAAAAGCAGTTGCTGTTACGGATTTCCTCTAGCTCTCCAACTCCAAGTTCTCAACTCAATTCCTGCCCTTTGCAGTAGGATTAAGGACCCTGCTGATTTCAGAAATTTTATCCAAAGGCCTGCTGCGGATCTTGGCCGGATCATTCTTCTCCGTGAGTCAGATGTTGTTGACGCTGAATACACTGCTAATGTAAGTAATACATTAGACTATAATAACTCATAATAAAATCTGTTTACCTTTGAGTTTTATGTGGGATGATATAATAATTTGATGCCTAATCAATTCTGTTATGTGAATATTTGAATTTCGCAGTTGTCAGTGGAATACACACTATACCAGTCAACACCAGTGAAGGATGATCTCTCTTGGCCAAATGAAGATGTAGACCCAGGGGTGCAGTTGATTATCTCTCTGATCAAGCAAAAGCACCAATTCAAGCCTGAGACGTGGCCTGTACACGGCTTGACCAGGTCTCCCACTGAGACACCTGGTGAAAAAGAAGCTGAACCAAGGGAAGCTCCATCAGCAACAGGTGAAGAGTTTGGTGGAGATCCTATTAATACTAGAGGTAAAGAGTATGTTGACCTGGAATCTGATGGCCCAAAGAACGATGATACATGTGAACCAAGGGCAGCTGCGAAGAGGGCGAAAAAAGAGAACTACACTCTCGGTCGGAAGCCATTCACACGGTCATCCAGGCTTGCAGAAGAACTTGTTGATTCCCAACCTCCATCCAAGAAAGCTAGTTCACATAAAAGAAAGGATCAACCCCAACCCTCGGCTGCTGCTATACCTGTAGGACAGTCTGGCCCTAAGAAAACAGGCAAAAAAGCCCCTACTCAGGGAGATGCGGCGCAGCCTGGTGCGGGAAGCTCTTCTTCTCAGTTTGTTACACATGCTGAATTGTCTGACTTGAAGTCTTGGATCTCTCAACAGCTTGTAGAGCTCCGTTCCAACATAGGTGAAGATATTTTGAAGAATTTAGGGAATAAGAGTCAGGGGTCTAAACCAAGGCAGCCTCATACAGAGAAAGCAAAAAGTAAGAGGAAGAAGAAGAAGGAGGAGCCTGCATCCAGGAAAAGAAAAAGAGAAGCGGTTATTTCTTTATCTCCTGGAAGCTCATCCTCTGGTTCTAAGCAAGGTTTATCTGGAGACATTCCCATTGGAAAGGAAGGGGGACCAACTATGAATTTTGAGGCCTGTGAAAGAACATGGGATCTTTATGGGGCTGCAAAAACTATTGCTAAGGTATTAGTTTAATACACACAGATTCCTGTAATGTCAATCAGTGCTGACCCTCTTATGTTTTATATTGGAAACGACAGGAAATAAGACCAGACAGCCCTGACTATACTATTCCAGACCCCACTACAGGAGAGCCTGAGAAAGAACCCGTTGAGGAGGAAATATCTGCAAGAGAGGCTGAGCAGACGCCTCCTACAACGGTAACACCATTTGCTGAGGTAAAGTTTTATCAAACAAGAATTATCCCTTCCTAATCCAATTTCCAATTCCAGAGATTTATATGACTAACTGGTTGGGCCTTTGGAAACACCTTTGTAAAGCATGTAATCCCTGAGACGCATGAAGCTTCACCTAATACAGATTGCGCTGCAAATGAGACTCAGAAGGAAACCAGTGACAAGGAATTTTTTGAAGGTTCGCCTAAGCAAACTCCTTCTACACCGGTTACACCATTTGCTCAGGTAATGAATTAGCAAACCTGAATTATCACTTAGTCATCAACTTTCCCAATACAGAATTATCTATATACACATGGTTTTACAATTTGTAATTCATGCTTTATCCCAGATTATCCATGAAACGCCTGAAGCTTCTGCCCAAGATGACTGTAAATACCGCAATCTCTCTTCCATTGTTGCAGCATCACCAGCATATTTTGTTATAGAGTCAACCAACCCACGTCAGCCGCTTCCGGGAAAGCGTGTTCCTAGGCGCTCTCGCTTCCTCGACAGTGCTGAGTATAGCGTTGATCCCAGAATTAGTGCTTTGTTTAAGAGCCGAACCAAGGAACCTGCATACACACCCCTCCCCAAGTTGGAGGATGGAGAGTTCGAGAAATTTAAAGAGTTGCTTGGAGATGATGTTGACAGGTATGTACCTTCTATCTCTCTTATCAATTGGTTATCAATAAATTGTTAATTACCTGACTTTCATTTACACAGACTCTACACCATTTGCACTGGTCACAAACTCAGCAATGGCCACTTCTTGGACATTGCAACGAAGGAGAAATGGATCACGACCGAGGTAAAGTTGAAAAAATCACATAATATAGCATGTCTCCCTCAACTTGAATAATACTTTCCCTGTACATGACTTGGCCTATTATATGACACAGCATATGCAGCTCATCACGGGTATGCTGTTGAGACGCCGGGGGAAAGCATACAGTTTAAGGAGGGTTGCGATAATTGATACCTGGTTTACAAGCCTTCTGTCCACCCACCATGATGATTTTATGAAATGCGAGGACAAGGAAAACTACGAGTGGGGTTCATCAATCAAGGCGTACGTAACAGGGAAATCTACTGGGATACACATGAAGTCTGAATTCCTGAAACATGTCGATGTGGTCTACGTCCCAATGAACTGGGGATGTTATCACTGGGTTGGATTGGTAATCAACTTGAAGCTGCGCAACATTGATATTCTAGACCCATTCATCGGCCCAACTCCAGATGAAGCAGTATCATTGCAAATGACCCCAATCATGGATACAATTCCGTGGCTTCTGAAGAGATTTTGCTGCCCTAGTCTGACTACAGACCTCACGACTGAGCAGTTCACTTGTAATCGCATATACGGATTGTACGACAACAAAGGTGATGGAGACTGTGGGCCTGTAACATGCAAGTTTCTTGAGATGCATGCTCATGGCATGGAGTACGCCGACTTGGCAGCTCTTACTGATGAAGTGGTCACTCGTATTAGGAAGGTTTATGCTATGGACACTTATGCTGCTTTTGTTGAAGGGGAAAACGAGTTCTAATTGTTTGTTTAAAGACTTATATATAAGATGTGTAATATAAGATGTGTAATATTGATGTAATCTGAATCGGAAGGATATTATGTGGGTTGGGTACTGGTTCTGGTATTTTGCAACGATCTTATCATTTATTAACATATTTATCCACATAAATGATATATATCAATTATGATTTGCATAAGATTATAGAAATCGCATTCTGTACAGCCACCATAAACAAAAGGAAACAAAATACTCTCTGTACAGCAACAATGCTGTACGGAATGATATCTGTACAGCATAATAGCTGTACAGAACGCTATCTGTACAGCATGAACGCTATTTGTATAGGAAACTGGCTGTACAGCCATAAATAGAATACTATCTGTACAGCAGAATGGCTGTACAGAAGGATATCTGTACAGCAACATAGCTGTAAGGAATGATATCTGTACAGCAAAATGGCTGTACAGAAAACTATATGTACAGCATGAACTAAAGACTATTTGTTGAGGACAAATATGTAGAGAACGCTTTTGGTAAAGGTGAAAACGAGTTGTATTTGGTTATTAAATACTTATATATAAGTTGTGTAAGTTGGGTAATACTTATGTACAGACAGCATAAAGAGAATACTATGTGTACAGCAACATGACTGTACGGAATGATATCTGTACAGCAAAATGGCTGTACGGAATGATATCTGAATAGCAAAATGGCTGTACGGAATAATATCTGTACTTCTGTACAGCATGAACCAAAGACTATTTGTAGAGGACAAATATGTACAGCACGCTTTTGGTAAAGGTGAAAACGAGTTTTATTTGGTTGTTTAAATACTTATATATATAAGTTGTGTAAGTTGTGTAATACTTATGTAAAGCCATAAAGAGAATAGTATCTGAATGATATCTGTACAGCATAACGGCTGATATCTGTACAGCATAACGGCTGTACGGAATGATATCTGTACAGCATAATATCTGTACAGATCGCTATCTGTACAGCAAGAACAAAAGACTATTTGTGAAGGAAACTGGCTGTACGAAATGCTATCTGTACAGCACAATATATGTACAGAACAATTTTGGTGTAGGAGAAAATTTGTAGTTGGTTGTTTTAAAGACTAATATATAATAGAATACTGGCTGTACAGCAGAATGGCTGTACAGAAGGATATCTGTACAGCAACATAGCTGTACGGAATGATATCTGTACAGCAAAATGGCTGTACAGAAAGCTATATGTACAGCATGAACTAAAGACTATTTGTTGAGGACAAATATGTAGATTACGCTTTTGGTAAAGGTGAAAACGAGTTGTATTTGGTTATTAAATACTTATATATAAGTTGTGTAAGTTGGGTAATACTTATGTACAGACAGCATAAAGAGAATACTATGTGTACAGCAACATGACTGTACGGAATGATATCTGTACAGCAAAATGGGTGTACGGAATGATATCTGAATAGCAAAATGGCTGTACGGAATGATATCTGTACAGCATAATATCTGTACTTCTGTACAGCATGAACCAAAGACTATTTGTAGAGGACAAATATGTACAGCACGCTTTTGGTAAAGGTGAAAACGAGTTTTATTTGGTTGTTTAAATACTTATATATATAAGTTGTGTAAGTTGTGTAATACTTATGTAAAGCCATAAAGAGAATAGTATCTGTATGATATCTGTACAGCATAACGGCTGATATCTGTACAGCATAACGGCTGTACGGAATGATATCTGTACAGCATAATATCTGTACAGATCGCTATCTGTACAGCAAGAACAAAAGACTATTTGTGAAGGAAACTGGCTGTACGAAATGCTATCTGTACAGCACAATATATGTACAGAACAATTTTGGTGTAGGAGAAAATTTGTAGTTGGTTGTTTTAAAGACTAATATATAAGTTGTGTAAGTTGTGTAATTATTATGTAATCTGAATTGGTAGTATATTATGTGTGTTGGGTACTGGTTCTGTTCTGTACATCACTTAGACACACAGAAAAGAATATTGTTTTTAAAATAGGAAGAGTTGGATTTCCTTTATATTTGTTTAGATTATTTAGGAGGGTTCCGGTTAGGGTTAGGTTAAAGTGATAAGCGGACCTTTTATTTAGTTATCTATAAATAAGAGGAGACATTACCTACACAGGTCCCTCATAAGGCCCCTACACTTCCACCTCGTTATTCTCTATTACTCACGCCTAGCACACCTGAAACTCTTGCTTCACTGAACTCAACATTATGTCTTTGAGTGATTTACCGGATGATATCTTCCATATCATTACGAAGAAGCTTGGAGATGAAGACGCCACATACCTAGGCCCGCTAATGCTCACCAACAAACGAGGAAGGGACATAGCGTTATCAAAGGAGATCCTACAGTCAGCAAACATAACTCCTCTAACCCTGGACCCCGTCGACATATATCCAGGTGGTGTTACTAGAACCTTCTTTACCCGTTGTTTGGACGTAGAAAATCCTAAGGCAATTTATTATGAATCTTTGCGTCTGATAACACGAGAGGGTGATATCCACGGGTCCCTTGCTTTGCTAAACCAACTTGTTCCTACTTATGACCATGCCACTCTCACGTATGCAATGTTTCAAATGTGTGCTGGGAGGGGAGATATTGCTGGGGCAACATTCGACCAAATTTTTGAAGATTTAGGTACTCGTCTTTGGTTCGATAATTACTCTCCCGATTTGGAAGATGAGTGTGAAGTTTTGATTGAGACACTATTATCATTTGACCCCCCTGGTGAAGATACCTTTGGACCAATTTGGGAGTTTGCTTATTCTAAGAAGATAAGCATACCTGATTGTGCTTATTGGCATGGGCACGATTATTATTGCGAAGGATGTTACATCTACAATGCAGCATTACGTATATGTGAACTTCTCTAGAGTTTCATGTATTCAAGAAACCTTGTAATGTTAAACTACTAATATTTAAAATTCTGTCATTGTATAATTATGTAACAGTTTGTATAATTATGTAACATTTTGTAACGAATGTTGTATTAATTTCTTATGTCTCTCATTGTATAATTATGAAAAAATTGCGAAGAAATTTCTAATTAAATTATAAAACAGACTTATTCATTATTGTTGGGTGAGAGGAAAAAAGACAAACTAGTGGGTTTGTCAGACTCGATAAGTTAGAAAAGAAACAAACACATCAAATATATCTTTGGTTTTTTCTTACAAATGTAATTATTACTGTCAGTGTGTGTAAGACTTAAATCTTTTAAAAATTGTTTTAAGTACAAGTATAATCGGTTATCAGTGTAGAAATACTCAAGTGGGATGAAAAGTCAAAAGTATAATCATTTCATCCAACCGCTAACTTTTTACTTCCCCAACTTGGTCATTTCAGAATCTATAACAAAACCAAAAACGATTTTGTGATAATAAAAGGGGCATTGAGATAAGATCCACAACAGTGGTTGGAGAAGATGAATTTTTTTGGATAATATCCAAAACATTGAAATAACAAAAGCAAAAACGATGATAATTTGAACACAACAGTGGTTAGAAAAGACAACAGGGTTTTTTTTGATACCATATCCTTAGTATTATACATGACAGTACCCTAAAAAGACTTAATACAATATTTCTAGCATATAGTAAGCTAGAATGAAAAGCACTATAATTATACAAAGCAAATAATACAGAAACAAGAAAATTACATCCGCAAAAACTAACATAATTTGAACATTCTTACAACTTGAAAAATTATCGACCATGACTTCATAGCATTTGACATACCTTCCTTGACATCCACCATAGATAACACTCGTCGCACAAGTTTTCATAACCTCCATATGCAATGCCACAGTCAATGGCACAATCCGGCGACGGGATGCCTCTGCAAATTGGATAGAGATACGTCCTCCTGTATGAATTGTTGCTCATTCTTCGATATGGACGCAAATCCGAAACCAACTCCTCTCCCCAACGTCTGACAGCCTCTGTCCCCAAAGCAGCATGAGATTTCCCAAATAGCTCAAGATAGTGTACCGCCATACCCTCATTTCCATCACAAATGGAGAACACACCACATGCTAGAGTTGCCAACCCATCCTCCGGGACCAACTGAGCTAGAAGTTCAATACCCGCCTTGATGTCACAACCTTCAGCCACCACCCTTAGCCCTTCATAGTAGATTGCGGTCTTGTTACCCGCCTTGAGACATCTCTCAAAAAAAGGGCGGTGCCGCCCTTGCTCTAGACGGCCGGTTATCTGACTATGGAATGTGTAGAGGTCGCTTGGGTCAGAACAGAGGGAGTAAATGTTAGCATCCCTCAAAACATCGTCTCTGTACACCACATCTCTTCCCCTTCGACCGGCCTTCAATATAGGGCCAAGCAACCACCAGCGATCATCAGCCACAAGCTTAACGATTTTTGCAAACAAATCATCAGGGATATCTGGCATTTCGGTTCCCATTTTTTTCCCTTCTCGTGAGAAAAATAAATTAAGAGTAGTTTTCTTCTTTTGCTGCTATTTATTTTGATTACAGCTTTGTTGTATATATAATGCGTTAGGTGAAGTAGTTAAGGAAATTACAGTTGAGATGAATTGAATCCTCCTACCAAAAATATTTATAACATGTTTCCATATTTTAAATTTCCACAAGTTAAGGAAATTATTTACCTCCCATAACTGTAGGGATATGTCTAGTAAAATCTGTACAGCAAACGTATGGAAACTGTACAGCAAACGTAAACCAATATCTGTACAGCATTCCTGCAGCTACGTCTGTACAGAAAACGTACAGCATGATCTGTACAGTAGACGTACGTTTGAAGACTGAACATCTGTACAGATACGTCTGTATATTTGCTGTACAGATGTAGCAGTACGATTACATCTGTACAGCGGGCTTAACGATCCGTACAGCAATAGCTTGAGATTAAAAACGATCAACTTCTTAGCCAAAATAATAAGTTCAACAAATAAAACTTGACCATTCATATACATCACTAAGGCTTGCCGCTTGAAAACAAGTTATAATAATTTTTACATACCTAAAAAGAGACATTTATCTGAAATTTGTCTCCGAACATATTTCATATGAATGTCTACCCCTTCCGAAAACAATACATTTTAAATTACCAAAAAACGACCCCTGCCAAAATCCTCCTCCATTGATAAGACAAACTCCCCAAAAAGCCTTACACATCTTGCTTACATTCCAAAGCGTCAACCAAGTGGGTTGGTACACGTAACCCGATTGTGACCTACACCTCCACATCTTCCACACTTGTTAGGCTGTTTTGACTTATTATTCCCCTACATTGGTTAAGATGAATTGTTACACTTGAGTTATATCCCAACCTGTGGAATAAATTAAAATTTACTAACCTCATATTCCCCAACTGAATGTATCCGCAGCTTTGGGGGTCTCCCCGGGGGTCTTTTTGTTTTCGGAGGCATTAAACATAAAACTCTTATTTCCTCAGGAACATCCACCTCCGATGGATCGCGTACTGGGAGGATAGATTCTTGGACCGTTGGTGACCACATTTCCAGCCTATGCATCTCTCCAACCAACGTTCTGAATTCCAAATTCCTGTCATGAGCTGCAGCCATCGCATGAACACAGGGAATTCTAATTTTTTGAAACTCCAAGCAAGAGCAAGTCTGTTGTTCCAAGGAGACGAGGAACTGTTCTCCATCCTTTGCGACTACTTCAAAATCCCACCTACCAACAGCCAAAACTGTCATCCCCAATCCACCTTTGAAACGTTTCAGCAGCTCTCTTTCAACAGCAATTGGAATGTCTCCGACAGTTCTAGATATTTTCTTCCTACGCGATTCAAACCACCTTCCGAGCATTTTCCTAATAAATTCAAGCAATGCTACAACAGGACTACCCCTAGCTGGTAGTAAAGCATTGTTCAAAGACTCAGCGATGTTACTAGACATCAAATTATACCTCTCCCCTGAAAAATGAACCCTGCTCCAATTCGAAACCCCAATTTCTTCCAAATATTTCCAACACCCCTTATTCCTTCCCCTAATTCTTTCACAAACAGCATTAAACTCTTTCAGACGGAACTTGTTACCTGCTTGCCATACTAAGGCTGGAAGCCCACTCTTCTTTCCATACTTTCCTTTAACATTCCTTCTTATGTGGACTAAGCAAGCTCCATGATGCGCTTTAGGGTAGACAAGTCCCACAGATTTGATTAATGATGAATTCCGATCTGAGACAAAGGTCAAGTCTGGTCCATCTTTAATTATTTCTGACAGCTTATTCATGAACCATGTCCATGATTCATCTGTCTCGCTGTCCACTATAGCAAAGGCCACTGGATATATCTGAAAGTTCGCATCCTGGCAACTTGCGGTAAGAAGACAGCCAAGATATTTCCCAAACAGGTGGGTGCCATCTACTACAACGACTCGCCGTAGATATTGTAACCCTTTAAGACATGCACCTAAAACTAGAAACACATACTTGAATCGCTCATCCCCAATTTCATCCACCTCTGTTTCCAAATGATAAACTGTCCCAGGGTTTGCAAGTTGTAAAACATGGAGATATACCGGCAACAAGGTGAAAGAACTCTCATCTGTGCCCTGAGCTGTTTCAACAGCCAGTTCTTTGGCTTTCCAACCTTTCCAATACGACATCCTAACATTGTGCTCCCTCAGCAGAGATTCGGGTAAGTCTCTTGCTCTTGGACCACAAAACGCCTTCGCATACTTAGCCCTTAGTAGAGCGGCTACAACCTTGGAAGTTGCGTGTTTTGAGAACCTGCTCCTAGTCTCAACATTACACATATGTTCAAACTTGGCCTTCGTCACCTCGTATTCTTCACTCTGCCCAACTTGGTGTGCTACAACTCTCCAGTCACAGCATTTTTTATCATAACATTCAGCTACCAAGTAATTTTTCTCATACCTAGTAAATTTGAAGCGGAATACACGGTTGATAGCATAAATTGACAATGCAGTCCTGAAATCTTCCCTAGACTCAAACGTCCTTCCAACATACATATTGTCATCCTCTTTGCTCAAGTCAACATGAGCTGCTTTCCTATCCATATCATCGTCTCCAAACATTGGCTCAATGTCCTCATAACCATAAACTTCATCAATGCTTATCCCCTTCTGAATAGTGTGAAGAAACTCTGTCATAACACCTCCTACACATGCAAGATTGTCAGTCCTTTCTTCAATTCCTTTCCCTTTTTCTTTCTGTCTGACTTTCTTTTTCGGGGGTTGCTCAACAAAATCATCATCCCCACTGTCTTCATCTCCCACAATTTCTCTTCCAGCTTCAAGCCTACCTACCGTGTTGTTCTCGTAATCGTAATCATCATCTTCTGATTCACTACCTCCACTGTAAGTATAAGAATCATCGGAGTTTTCGGAACACTCTTCATCTCCACTGCTCTCCATTCCATCTTCCACTGCTACAGATGTGGTTAGCCCTGTGAAAGCAACCAAATCTGTTTTAGACGACTTCTCCACTGCTTCAACGGCAGCTAACAGGATTTCATCACTTATGTCCCACCCACCGGAGCTGTCAATAACATCTGAACTCTGTGCGATTGCTAACTGAGAGTTATTGCCTTGAACTGGAGGATAAACAGTGTTATTGTCTTGAACTGCAGATAAAAGTCCAGAAAAGTATCCAACTTCCTCTGTCGCTCTTGAATTACCTACAGCCTCTACGATACCTGCAGATGAATCTCCTAGTTCTAAACCCTTAGCAAAACAACTCCCGATCCTTCGAGCTTCAGGAGTAGGCCCAACTTTGACTCCATCGCCTTCTCTAAAACACACGAACAGGTTCACAGATTTATCATGAATGCTTAAAGATTTAAAGCTTCGAAACTGCCGATCACACCGAATCATTGTCGGGCCCGGCTGAACACCAGCTAACAGTGCTAAATTGTCCTCAAACATGTAGCTAAGCTCAGTTGATATCGAGCTCCTCTCCATTCTGTACAGTTGCCTCACTTTAAGCTCCAAATCCCTGAAAGTTTTTAAACCCATCAAACTCAACGCCCTCCCCTGCCGATAAGAATCCATCTTGAACTCCCATTCACCAGTGCTATACAAGATCCATCTTCCAGCCTGTACAACAACAATATCATCCACTGCAAAGGAAATTCAATTATAATCAGTTTCTAGGCCAGGACAATTGTAAACATTGTACAGAAAATTGGTAAATTTGTTTCGGTACTGAATATCACCTTCCATTCTATGTTCTCAGATCTGAATGTCCTCAGGAACTTAGAAACCCTACCGAAACTGACAATCATCTTCTTCTTTTAATCTTATAATGAATTTTTCACCAAAAAATTGCAAAATAAATTTCCCCCCAAAAAATTCACCTACTTACGAAAAAAATCTCAAGAGAGTCTGAGTATAATATCATTTTCTCTCACCAACCTAGTAACTAATTTCGTTGACATTAACTTCTCATTAATGCAGGGGTTTCTGTCTGCTCCAACGCCGCCACTAATGAAGACGACTTGTTTGATAATTGACTTCGCCAATTACTTAATTTTGGAGATAAAATGGGGAAAAAGTTTAAAGCCCATTTACACCTATCTAAAGCCCGTTAATCACATTTGGCTCCAGGGTCCAACAAACCAAACACGCCATCTCGCCTAGAGGCTTCCTCATTTCCCTGTAAAAAGAAGGAAGCCCTCAAACGTAATTTCCACAACAACCTCAAGACCCCACTATTTTTCTATTAGACAGAACGTGTATCTGTACAACAGTGGGGACCCGACTACTTTTTTAGTATTGAATAGGACCTGTACTACTTTCCCTATTATCTTTCATAAACGTACTAAATCCCAACATATTCCATAAAATTATTGATGCTTATTATTAACAATAGTTGATTTGATACTAATTTAGGAAACAAAATTTAAAGAGTACTAGTTATGTAATCCAACATCAATTAAAGATATATAGTGGGATAATTAATAAAAGTGCTTGATATCAGTTGAATAAAATCGATGATAATCAGTTCTAATTTACATCATCAAAAATATCTATATCGATAACGTGAATAACACTGATAAAATAATCGATATATATATATGTACTAGAGATATTATATAATTTCAAGACTAAAATAGTTAAGCATTTGAGTGAGGGGCATGATTACAATTCCTTGACATTGGTGATTACTTATTGAGAAAGTGTTGAGATTATATTATTCTATAGTAGTACATTAATTACTCCAATATATTTTAGTTGGTTACGACTTCGAAAATTAGTACAACACCATCATTATCATGGAGTAACCGGCAAACAAACCCTCTAAAGTCATTGTTTCCTCTGGCCAACCGATACGTATGACAAAAGATGTTCTGGTGGGAACAAAACCCTCATGCCAATCCGGCCGGTACAGCTTTTGTAGGACCGATTTTAAAAATTGAAAAAAGTTGGTCAGTGACTTGGCCTGACTCATATAGATTAAACCCTATCTAACGGTCTGATCCGCTAAGCCAAAGGATCATGACGGATCTAAAATCTTAAAATCAAATTAGAGTTTGTCTCATACCCAGTCATCAGGTCGGATTAATATAATAACAATATTTTTTTATCAAATTGGAATTTTGTTTTTTTTCTTCTCAGAATTATATTTGAGATTCTTAAAATTTCAAACCAATATAGTTATGTCAGCTTTGAATAAAATTACTTCAGGATTCAATAATGTGGAGAGCTTGAGTCATGCCAACATCTATACATGAATTAGTTTTGCCGTTTATGGTGTTTTCTGATAGATGGTAGATTAATTCGAACATTATAAACAAAACCATTTTAGTATATTTAGACAATGTCTTTATGTCGTTTGGCTGTTCCGGAGTTTGACGTAAAGTTCTTCATTTCTGTAAGTAAGAAGAAAGATCGAAGTATATTTAGGATATGTGATGATTTTTAATTCCTCGTATCCGCTTATTAATGATAATTCTTGCTACTCGTTGAACGATGCTAGTAGTGGATCATTAACTTATCTGTTGAGTGATCCTAATTCTGCTAAATTAGTTTGGCTTTATGGAGTGATATATATCACTCATATTAAACGGTATTTTTAGTTCTATTCAGAGGTTATGTTGTGTTAGACGACCAACGTGAGGCCAGTTATATATGGTATATAGCTATAAGCTATAGTAGTACCTCATTGACCGGTATAACAGCTAACAAAATTATGGTTTGGATCGACTAGTATTGTACGGTCATAATTGTATCAATAGATCAAAGTAACATTTGGTCATTAATACGGATCATACTTCTAGATCAGTAGTCATGATTATTTTCATGCTTAAAAACAGTTTTGGATGAAAACCTAGAACACTATATATAAGTTCTTTATACTACCGCGTGGTTAATTTGTGGATTTGAATAAGCATTATTTAGTTATGCGCCTGTACCAATGCTGCTGTAAAAAAAAGTATGTACCAATGCTTAAACGTGTGAGAGTTCAAACAGTGTTGGTATATGTACGTAAGGTGTCAGTTCTTATATATTGAAAAGATTATATATAAATCGTGTTATAAGCTTTCTACCATTTTGATTATTGATTTTTGAGTTTTTAGACTTGCAATTCTAAAAATTAATACATATAAGGTTCTAAGACTAATTGTAATATAGGTGTTATATATATAGTAGCATCAAAGTTGCTATGAAATGACCTGGCGATGTTCTGGTATCTGCGAATCTGCGGAGGTGCCTCTCAATTATAAATAGAGACCACCTCACATGTTCATGCCAATAGTTAATTATTCGAAAATGACCAATCCATGAACATGCAAAAACACATGAGTTTTCCCATTTCTAAACATATTATGATTGACAAAAAAAAAAAAACTATACTAGGTTAGGAATCATTTCCGAAGCTTAAAGGAACTAAAAATATATATAAATGACATGTCCAAGTCGACTTATTGTCACATAATTTTGAATTATAATTCATGAAACTTAATTTTTATCTAAATAGGATATATTATATATTTTAGAGTGTGATATATATAAACCGACAATAGTCATTTTTCGAAGAGACTGTTAGAATTTTACATAGAAAAAATTGAAATAATCTAATGACAATCTAGTCATTTACAATTGGTTTTCAGATAATTAAAAACCTAAACCTATAAAAGTCAATTTAAAACCAATCGTATGAAACTTCATTATACCAGAGAATCATATGGTTACTTGAATCTCTACCCGATGCCTGAGAAAGTGAGAAGCTGGCTAGGATTGCATATATGGTTTCTTTATGAGTTCTCATTATAATTTATTCCATTAAAAAAATGGTTGTGATTAATAATTTTATAAATAGTGCGTTGCTAACAGTCAAATATGTTTTTCGACTTTGAGGATAAAATTATGGAAATTTGTTCCACAGTAAAAACCTAATAAATTTTGACATATGTTTTTTATAACAATTTTGACATAAGTTTATATCTAATAATTAAAAGGGACTATAATGTAATATATACATAGATAGGGGAGACAGAGACGAAGGCCCACACATCTTTAACAAAAGAACAACAAGCCCGTGACCCCAAAAAAACTAGCTTTCAGATTTATTATTTTTCATCTGACATAATCTCCACCGTTAGATTTCATTTTCTCATGTCCCATTCTGACTCAGATCCAACCGTCCATATTCCTCTAGTGTCTTCAATAGTTGGGCCCCTTTTCTTCTTCCCCTCGCCGTACACTCTCCTTCCAGCGCCAACGCCACCGCCCGAGCCACCTCTTCCGCCGGCGCCACCGCGATCTCCTCGCCGGAATCTCCCCCTCCGCCTCCTTTCCCGTAGACTATGGAAAGTATGCTTATAGCGTATTCTCTTCCCCTCCCTGCTAGTCTCGCCATCACCGCCACCATTGCCGGCACCGTCATCGCGTGACCACGAACCTCCGCCGCTCCTTCCGCAGTCGTGCACATGAGCTCTAACGCAGCTAAGGCTCGTTCCACGGCTGAGATCTCTAGCCCCGCCGCTGTTTCCACCACCGCTCGTGCGGCTCCAGCCTCGACTGCCACGTGGCGGTTTCCTTCGGCGAGGCAGAGAGCGAGGAGGATCTTGGTGACGTATTTGGCGGTTACGATCTTGTTGTTGCTACGAAGGCAAGAGACGAGGCATCGCATGAGACCCGGTGGACAAGTCGGATCAGAAGGCGGGTCGGGTACGACGACACGCTCGAGTAGCTGAAGAGCGAGGAGCTTGTCGGATTCAGAGACGGATGTGAGGTGAAGCTCTGCGATCTGGAAGGTTTCTTGGAGAGTGGTGGTTACCGGAAGAGGCGGAGGTGGAGGTGGTGGAGGAGGTGGAGGAGCGGTGGATGGAGTTTGATCAAGGTGATGAGGGAAGCGCCATTGTGTGAAGCTTTGGGAAGTTGAGGTTGAGGAGGAAGAAGAGGAGGATGATGTGGTGGTGGGTTTACGGCGAGGTTGTTGCTGGTGAGGAGAGGTTGGACTGAGGACGGATTGTGTGCAGCGGCGGAAGAAGCCACATGAGAAGAGAGGACGCGGCGGCGCGTGTGGTTTCGGTTTCTGGTTTGCTTTCATCATCGCTCACTGCAGAGAGATTGTGGTGGACTTTTAAGTGTTAAGTGGGAGTGAAGTGAAGTGAAGTGAAGGGAAGCGTCTCTTTTTTAAATAGGAGCAAAATAATTGATTCGCACCAAATTTGTCAGGCGTTACACTTGTATTCTCCCTAAGATTATTACTCGCATGTAACCATTAAATAATATTTATTATAATCACATGTTTGTGTGTGGATGGTCCCCAAAAAAATGAATTTACGATTTTGACGAGGGAGAAGTATAAAAGGTGACATGTTTGTTTTGTTGGATCAATCATTACCTGAAGATGATAAATGCAGGCTGATTTGGGTCATAAAACATGGAATTTATTTCTGTTCACAAAGAAAGAAAAGGTTAAACAGAGGCTTGTATAAACTTTAAATTCAGAAGGTTCAGCCCAACTCTAGAATGTGACAAAGCTCACAAAGCAAGAGTCTGTAAAGTGTACTCAATTTCCAAAGCCTAACATCAAGAATTTAGCTAAGCCAATGGTTTTTTTTTCTAAGAGTGAGAAAAATGGTTCATAAACATTCTACAACTGTGAAAAAAAAGCCCAAAGAGAGGAAGGGTTTAAAACCTTTAACGGTTCTAATCACCTCCATTTTTCGCTTAGTTCTTTCTTCTCTGAAAGGACCCAGGTGATGTAGATGGCTGCAACAAGTGCTACAATCGTGATCAGGAGAAGTGCGTAGCTGAAATCGTCGGTCAGTGAGTCGTAGGTCTTTGAAGGAGCAAGCCTTGTGTAGAAGAGATCTACTCCATAGGCAAAGACGTGTGTCGTTGACTCTAGCTTGGACGGAGCTGTTACTATGCCTCTTAGACCTTCTACTTTGTGGGAGTGTGTGATGTACGCCTGTGAAATATGACAAGTAAATTAGAATCGATACATTCACTTAATTCTAACTGAAACCAAACAAGAGATTGCCCAGTTCTAACAAAAATAAGGAAAATGGGTTTGAATGAACCTGAGGAATGATGGGTAATGTATCCGTGAGAGGGATGATTCCTTCTTCTTTTTCAGCTTGAGACGGGTTAAGTGTTCGGCGTGGATCCACAAATCGTTTATCAAGTGCCAATATCTAATCATTCATTAGAACAGTTTTGAGTGTCAGTTTTTCTATATGATCTATGGAGGTATCTCTATATGAGAAGAAATGTACAAACCTGATCCCCGATGGTACCAATGAGAAGCTGCTTTGAAGTTATACCCTTTGCTGTGGATGTCACCGCAATGGTTTTCACAGACTGAGCAAAGAAGTATGACTGTGACTTTGTAAACACCTCTGGCCTAGAGTACGAAGTGATAGGTGCTGTTAGATTGTGCTTTCCCAGAATGAGTTTCCAGACATTTTTGTTCTCCTGCAAATAAAATAACGATTCACAGAGCGAACACTCAATCAACTGAAAAAATGTTTATGAACTATGAAGTCATACCGCCCTAGACTGATCATAGATCTCAACGACGGTAACCTCGTACTTGTGAGCTCGAAGATTGAAATAGTGGTAGACAACCCAATTCTCACTAAACACCTGAAAACAATATGAAGGCTAAGAAAGTTGCATTGAATCTGTGACAAAAAGAAATGACATGAATTTGCATGAGGACTTACCGCATGAACCGGCCCTTGACAGCCTTGATGTGACAAACGGTGCAGTATCCGTCCAGTGATGGTGTCAATGAGGTATACTACAAGTGATGACTCCTCTGGTGTAACTGAGCCAATCTCACCAGCACCTTTTGGTGAAACGGTGGCCACAAACAGTAAGTTTCTTGATACATATTTATACAATAGGTCTTGGTCTGAGTTGACTTTGGCTTGTGTATGAACAACCTGGAAATAAAAATCGTACGCAAGTCATGATTAAAAGATTAATCATTTACTGAGCTTTCCATTCTAGTGGTTTGGATTTTCAAAAGTCCCAAGAAACGACTACTCGCAAAAGTAAACACAGCAATCTGTGTATATGTTTTGAGTAAAACACTAACAAGAATTAAAGAAGCATTGATTTAGAAACCAAGATTTATACCTCATTAGGTTTTCGTGTTAGTGTTGAAATGATTTTCTCTGATTCCAAAGGAAACACAACAGTCCAAAGTTCTCTGGTTGTAAAGCAGTACTCATCTGCAGTCTCACTAGAGCAACTGCCCTTCATTACGTGTCCTCTGATAATTCCATCATCTGCCTCAACAGTGTACCAATATACATTTTGAAACTCGCGCTGAAAGATGCTGAGAGCCTCTGAAGTTTTCGGATACAAGTGGACGTGGCCAACGGTATCAGCTATTAGGTGTAAACGTTGTTCCGTCGAGTCGGTAAATGGAAGAGGCATAACTTGCACAACAGAGTGACCAATATCTGATGAGCTAATCTCCTTTCCTGTGTACACATCTACAAATGAAAGTACACCCGGCGCACTTGAATCTGATCCGCACTTGCCAACTACAAGCACCGAAGGATTTTCGTCCATGGCGTGATGATGAGGGACCTGCCATTGGTACAAGCTAATACCGTTTGGACGTTCACAGGCTTGTGAATTGCTAGGAGATTTTAGTAGCATGGACCAGACAATCCTCCCATCTCCAGTGTGCAGAGCAAAAAGTTTTCCAGGTCGAGTAAGAGCTAAGATTAATTTCCGAAAGCCATTATGGTCACGGGTCAATTTGTTCTTCCCAGAACTCTTCACCCTCAATTCTTGAATTGCTACCACGTCCTCTGGGCTTGCTAGCAACAAGGATCCCTTAAGCTTTAGCACATGGCCCTACCAAAAGAAACAGAAAAAGTTCAATTGATTATGGTGAGAAAACAAGTAGAACACATCAAATACTCAACAAAATAACACAGCTCTAGGGAAATTAAGAAAACCCAACCAAGACGTTTAAGACCGTTCATACCTTAAGCCACTCAAAGAGAGTGTGCTCCACTTTTGCCACTGATACACCATCTTTTCCTAGAGGGAGTTCTGCCGTTGTAACATCAGTCACTGAAGCCAGGCCTTCTTCCCTGCTCCAAACAATCGCTCCTTGTTGCAGTAACAAGAGTGAGTGATCTTCCATCACAATAAGCGCCCTAAATCCATTACTCCTGTCTGTCCTGATATAGTTGTTCATGAAAACTTTATGGACACGCCCCCTATGTTGGTCCATCTGAATGGTCTCTCTAAGCAATACATTATCCAATTCATTCACGAGTTTCACCATGAGGTGAATCTTGCTCCCTTCATGGTGAACTGAAGCAAAGGCCTCCTGATCGTCTGCAACTGGAAGTGAATCACTCATGGCTGTTTCATCAGACAAAGAGTCTACCACCTCCAACTTTCCTTCGCCACCAACCTTCACAAATAGAGTGCGTTTATTGACTTTTACAGCAAGCATATTGCTAAGAAGCGCTGATAAAATCTCAGCCTTCCCGGAATCCTCAACAAGATCTGAAATAGGGGTCTTCTGGAAGCTAATATCCCCATCTATGAAGCCAATAGTAACCAAAATTGACCTCGTCGAATCAAGAACAACAACTTTGTCACTTGAAACTGATGAAATTTCGCCAGAGAATCCACCAGGGAACAGCATACTTTTTTCTGCCACTACCTCTCCACTTTTGGAATCAATCTGATAAACAACAGCCTCAGAAAAATTAATGAATCCCAGCACATAAATTATACTACTTCCAGGAAGTTGAAGAACCCGCTGAACTTCAAACCTGCAGGAGGCACCATAAAGCACATCGAAAATATTAATAAACGCCAAGAGCATTGAAGTAACCTCATTCAAATATAGAGTGAAGGCTGTCATACCCTTCCGCTGTAAAATCCTTTTTCCAGAGGACCTCACCATCTATAGCAGAAACAGCATGAAGGTACCCACCACCGAAGACAATAATAGGGTAGTCCTTGTCAACCTTCAAATTTATCTGCAAGATAGCTTTAATTCATAAATAATCAAGCAAGGAAAGGATGAAGCAACTAAGACTTCAGATTATATCACTCTTCAATGCCCTATGATTTCTTATAATAAGAAAAGGATAACAACAGTTATTTCAATAAAATAGCATAACTCCTAATTACTTACAGGCACTGATAACAGTGACTTTGAATGTTGTGCACTATGCAGAGATGTTTCCCACACCATTTGGCCATCAGGAAGGTTCCAGGCTCTTAGAGTACTTCCTTCTGATGAAAGGGTGATAACATCTGAGATCATTTGAAGCCAAGAAAACAGAGTTCAAGATGCTGGTATATTATTTATTCAAGTGAAAGCAAATATAGTAGTATCTGGTAAATCCAGACATAATTGATCCACATATATTGAAGAAAACTCTTACATTTTCCCAAGGCAATACCAACCCCATCGATAGCGTCCTTTGTCCCGAGAACATGCCGCCAAACTGCACCAAATCAGAAAACAAAGTAAAAAAAACGACAATTTGGAAGATGCTTCAAGATTCAAGATGGATAACAATATATGAAGATGAATATTCCTTACATATCTCCCCATGTCTGAGATCAAGTGAAGCAACAACATTCTCCTCGGTTGAGACGATAACACGCTTTCTTCCGGTCTTTTGAGTGTGGAATACTGCATGCTTCACTTTCCCGATGTACCTTTGGTGCCTACACAACATAACAATGATCCCCATCAATGAAAACACTTGTGAATTTCTACGCATTCTAGTTACTTGAATCCTAATTCCTTAGAAATCATCAACATCACTATGTAGCAAAAAGTAGCTTAACCCCGATCGCATCTCAAATTCACTAGTGAATTCGTAAAGGATCTTTCCATGAATCATATTACTACAACAATTCTCTAGCTAATGAGATCTAAAAAAAAACACTAAATCACAGATTCTAGATACACTGCGAATTTGGATTAATTAGATTTGGTGAAAGCTCTCTGGTAAGACTTCTAAATCGATAAGTAGTAGTAAACTTCGAAACTTTGTCAACTAATTTTGTTTCCAGAGAGACAGAACAAATCGGATGAAGAAGAGAAGAGTTGTTACCAATCAGTGAGACCGGCTTGATCTTCATAGAGAGAAAACGATACAATTGCAGATGATAAGAAGAGGAGAAGGGTAAGAAAAACCCTAATCGCCATAGCTATGACGATTTGCTGACTAATTTATCTTCAGCAGCAGATCTGGAGATGAAAGAGAGTTTTTTGGTGTGGAAGATAATCGTGCGGGGGCTTTAACCAAGCCAAAGGTCTTCTGCAGAACAAGCGAATATTTATTTTATTTTTGTTGGCCTCACAAGCCAATAATTAAATGCCACGTATGACATGCAACATTATCAAAAAATTAAATTTAAAAAAAAAAAAGTTTACAACAATATAAACAAATCTGTTAAATTTCTGAAAAAATACATAAGCAATTTTTTTTTTGAATATCAATTTTACTACACAGATGTGTTAGTGTTCTGTAGTTATAATTAGACACTGTTGACTTTAAGAATGCAGCAGCATTTGTGTAAAAATCTATGCATAAACCATTCAGAACCATGCAACTTGTTTGATTTCTTTAATCAGAGTGTGATAAATTAAAAAGCAAATTATGTTCTGCTTTAGAATACTTTGGTTTCAACCTTGTGGTTTTAGTAGTCAGAATCAGTATCCGTGTCCTCATCTTCACTATCCTCCAACTGATAGGCTTTCCCAAAGCCATACAGTGCTTACAGTATCAAGCAGCAGCAGCTCATCTGATGGGATTTGAGGCAGTGCTAAGAGAACATTATATTTTGGGGTTTGTTCGATTTTAATAAAGAGCCCTGATGAACTCCGACTGTCCTGACATGTCTCCCATGATCAGCATAAAGTTTCTTGTTGATAACTGCCAGCTGCCTCGCTAAACAAGTCCACTAACATCTTTTTACGTCTCTCATCTTTAGCTTCTGAAACCATATATAGATATAAACAAAGGTAGATATATCATCAAGGATACAAAAGATCGCACACAATTGTAAAAAAAAAGAGAGAGGGAGAGGGAAAGAGTCTTCACCTGTGTCTACGTGCACGAGCCCGATATCAGCATCTCCAAGTCTATCAGTCACAATAACCCCTGACTTCGACTGGTAACCTACTACAATAACCAGAATTCTCAAGGGCCTTTTCGACGTACGACACTTTAATAACGTTTTTTATATATCATTATCATATATGTTAGGCTTAAAAAACAAAAGGATTTTTCGTTCTTTATTATTTTATTTTTTTGTCAACAGGATTTTTCGTTATTTACAAATAAGAAACAATTTGTCCAAAAAAATAAAATAAAAATTAAGAAACAAGTAAATTTGATTGCAATTTTTAGCATCGTATATTTGTGGACATCTCAAAAGGTAAACTTACAAACATAAATGTGTGTCTCGAAATTCTGCCCCCAGTTTCCATGTTTTATATGAATAAATTAGTCCATAACTGAAGAATCAACCTGTTAATTACATTTATAAATGATTATTTTCCCACACTTGTCGTTATATACTACATTTACCATAAGATTTCTTACACCACATAAAATACAGAACATTGAGCACAGATAATCCTACCAAGATCCAGTAGTAATAGTCCAAGTGTCCCTCGTCTATATTCTCGGTGATCCAGCTCCCGTAAGTGGTGACGTCAACGATGGTGATGATCCACGAGGAGATGAGGCTTGCTGCGGCCATGCCGAGGCTGGAGAGTGTGGTGGCGACGCTTGACATGGATTTGGGAAGTTCAGAGTAGAAGAACTCGTTCTGTGCTATCGTATTAAGTGCTTCCGCAATGCCTCCTAATATCATGTACGGTAATAGCCACATGGCCGACAACATGGTACCGCTCTCGTCTCTCTAGTGAATCAATGAACCACACACAAGATAAAACAGTTGAATGTTGTTCAATTCCAAAAAGATGCAGCCCACTTTTACTTGCTATATCTGTACGTTTTTGTGAATGCTATATAGATTAAAAGATGCAGCCCAAAAATTTCTTTGGTTGATATTTTTTATTTAATGAAAAACAACTAACCATAACCAAAAAACGGAGAAACCAGAAAAACCGAACAAAAATCCGGATTGAATACTTACAGCGATTTTTTTCCTGGCGTACTCCGCAGGTGCAAGAGTAGAGATGCACATAACCGATATTACATACCCAGCTCCCATTCTCGCCATAACTCCCAATCGAAAGGGCCTTCTTAGAGCCCAAGAAAGTAATGGGACGATAACAAGATCATAAAGACCAAGGAAGAGCACAAAGGAGATGACCAAGAAAATGCCGTAAGAGCCTGGAGGAATCTCAAAACCCTGAATAAAGGTGTGGCGATCCATGGCCTTGGCTTGAAGGACTATGAAGGAGACTTGGCAAGCCGTGACAAGTGATAAGATGATCCCCGTTGACCATATGGGTAGGACACTGATGAGAGATTTAAGATCTTCTACTTGTTGAACCCTACATAGCTTCCACGGATTCCGTGACTCGCCTAGGGTTAGGTCTTGCTTCGGATTACTTGTGGCGCAAGCTTTATTCAAATACCTATAGTAGAAAATACTTCCAAATGTATCAGGTGTCGTTAAACAATCATATTTTTGGGAACAAATAATTAACAAGAGGAGAAATACTGTTGCAACTATTACCACCACTCGACGATGAAGCTTATCCTCCACCGTCTTTGCAAAATTTGTATTTATAATCAAAATATATTTGACGATACAATTTGTTTTACAAAAAGCTAGAGAATAAATGTATTTTGTACCTCAATTTCTGGCTAGGAATTGGAAATGAAGAGCCCGTTTCGTAATGGTACGATATAATATGTTCCTCCGATGACAAATCAACGTGTCGGTTTCTAAAAGCAGCAACGAGAACCTGGAAAAGTCCAGCAACAAGGCCGGACTCACACTTAAACCTTACATAGTATGGAGACGCCGCAAAGAACGAAGCGACCGATAGAGCCATGGCAGCGACAGAAACTCCAAAACCAATCTGCCAACCATATGTTGTCTGAACGAAGACGAGCAACGACTGAGAAAGAAAGCATGCTAGCATAACGGAGAAGTAGTACCAGTTGAAGAGCGTTTCAAGGGCTGATGTGGTGACACGAGGTGTCTGATTAGGTTGGAGCTGGTCCGCGGCAAAGGCTAAACAGGAGGACCTGACTCCGCCGGCGCCGATGGCGGTGAGGGCAAAAAAGGAATATAGGAGAAGACTTTTGAGCAGTGTGGTGGGTTGGCACACGTTCGTTGATTTATCGCATTCTGGTCGAATTAGTGTTGTCAACCATAATAAAACCATTCCCTGTTACTCACAAGCAATTAAATTAAATACCACTAATCAACGAACGTGTATAGTTACTTGATGAAATAATCGTCACGGACAAATATAGGCTGAGTAGTATATTTCGGAAAATTATACAATGATTATTATTAATGTATTGTATAATTACATGTATCGTCAGGAGATATAGTTATTTGTTGTTTATCAATGATAATCTAGACTAGTACTTCAGCAATAATTGTGTTAAGACGCAAGGTTCTCTAGTTTCACATATAACTTCTTTATATTTCACACAAATTAAAACAAATTTCACTGATTGTTTTTTTGTTCTGATTTGTGAGGTTATATGGCATCAAATATGTACCAGAAGGCTGATAGAGGATCCAAACCCGATCAGAGGAAACCGACCCGTGTAAGAATCAGCGATAAAAGCACCAACAAGAGGGAAGAAATTGGTGGCGGCAGACCAGAGGAAGAGGATGTTGGCCGCTTCGGCTGTTCCCATACCGTATTCCACCGTCAAGAAGAGTATCATATTCGGTACCAATCCAAAATATGCAAGTTTCTCCAACGCCTGACTTGCTATCCAATACCATTTAACCAAGAATTCAAAAATACATCCATCTATTTTAACCCTCTATGAAATTATCGGGAGTGTATCAAACATATGAATACGAAAACTGATTATACCTAAAATAAAAGGAATGGTCGGAATACCGCGTTTCGGAAGAGTTCTTGTGAGGAGAAGAGCTTCTTGATCCATTTTCGGTTTCTTAATTTCTTTTGAATGTTTTTGACTCTTGGTGGTTTTGATAATATGTCTTATGTTAACGACGTTGTTAACATGTCGCGATCAGAAAATCGTTTTAATAATATCCAATTCAAAACAAATTTTATTATCCTACCTAACTGGACCCTCTTCATCAAAGTTTTATATTAATTAAGGAATTAGATTTCAAAGTTTTGTTCTCCTTTTGTTTGTTTGTTTGCGGCATGAATCTTATAGAAACGAAATGAGATATATCCTTTCTTTCTCCATTAAAATCATAATTTCATTTATTTTTCCAACATTCATACTTCATAGGTTCATTTACTAACTGAGACTTGAGAGAACGACACAATAACAGAAATAAAAATTATGTTTACTTACCACGAGAAACTAATTATTTCGTTGAATAATATACTAAAGACTAATGGGTCGGAAATTTTATTAATGGGCCTAATTAACTATATAGGCCCATGTCATTAACATAGAAAACAGGCTACACCTTGAGTTTGCTGCTAAGACTGAGAGACTGAAGATATTTAAGCACCGAGTGCTGCTGATCGGTGAAGTCTCGAGGATTTTAGAAAGCAATTGAGCACGAACCTTATCCGTTACAGTGGCAATGGAGGACAAATCGCCGACGTTACCGATTTCTGAAGATTTATCCCGGAAAATAATATCTCTTGCCGCCGGTGAAGCTCATACAATCGCTCTTACCGGTAAATATAAAAGTTACCACAGCTTCAATTTAGTAGATAGAGAAATTCGAAAATTCCTATGTTTTTTCTTGAGTTTGATTTTGATTAATTGGAATAGGCGATGGATGTGTTTACTCATGGGGAAGAGGAATGTTTGGCCGTCTTGGTACTGGTAAGGAATCGGACGAGCTTGTTCCAGTTCGAGTCGAGTTCGAGTTTCCAAATCAAGCGGAAGGAGATCGGGCTCGAATCGTTGGTATTGCTGCTGGTGCTTATCACAGTCTCGCTGTCTCAGGTGATTTCTTCTATTCATATGCCTAATTTCACTTTTCGATTAGCCTGTGCTGATGATTTTGATCAAATGGAAGTTCATAGATGCAAAAAAGGAGCTAATTTGATCAAACAAAACTTCCATTTGTTCTTCAAGTATAAGCTTGTTCATGTGTATGTATATGAATCTGATATGATATAGATCTGTATTGACCATTCTCTTGTCTTTTGTTTCTTTTCCCTTGTAAGCTTTTGGCAGATGATGGCTCGGTTTGGTGTTGGGGTTATAACATTTGTATCCTTTATCTAAGTGTTTTCGTTTTTAGCTTGATATGATTGTTTCATAACTACATTTATTTTTGTTTTCTGATCTCTACATTGATTGCTTCAATCCTTGACTGGTAAATGGATGGCCAACTTGGTTTTGATGGGGAAAACTCTTTGGCACCATGCTTAATAAAAAATTTGTTTGAACAAGGAGCATCTAGTTCTTCTCTAAATGATTCAGGTAGAGAAACTAGATCAGATTTAAAGGTATGGTCCCAGAAATGCTTTCTTAGTGTTGGTTTACAAGTCAAAAAAACTTTAGCACAATGATCTACGTTATGCCTTGTAGGTTTGTGCTGTTAAGGCCGGATCCATGATGTCGCTTGCCATTGATAATGTCGGAGGTCTTTGGATGTGGGGCAATGTTCCTCCACAAGACAGTGAACCTGACCCTCGATTGTCTTTTACAAGCATCCCAATTCCATTTCCTATACTCGACTTCCATGGTCGGACGGTTTTGAAGGTAGCATGTGGGGATGAACACGTTGTTGCCCTCGTAGCACCAGGGGATATCCACAAAGACAACAGTTATGATGTATCTGTGCTGTATTCTTGGGGAAATAATCATCATGGCCAGTTAGGGCTTGGGGATAAAGAGAGCCGTGTGAGGCCTCAGATTGTGGAGACATTTAACCAGAACTCGGGTCTTACAGTCTACGACATAGCTTGTGGTGCTCATCACACCGCTCTTCTCACCTACAAGAAGGAGACACAGAAAGGACCAAGCATTTGCTGGACGTTCGGCTTTGGAGAAAATGGTCAGCTTGGGCATAGAAGTAACAAGAGCTCATCGATTCCGGAGCCAGTTTCAGAGCTCCCAGAACACGCGTACTTAGTTTCTGTAGACTGTGGATTATTCCACACAAGCGTAGTGTCCTCTGAGGGATACGTGTGGTCGTGGGGAATGGAGAGAGGATTAGGATTATGCCCCGATGTCAACTTCACAGAGGTGGAAGCAGGAGATGATAGTGTACCAAGAAAGATTTCAGCTGGGTCAAGATTTCGTGACCCGGTTCAGGTTTCTTGCGGGGCAGCACATACAGTTCTTGTGGCAGATGGTGGGTACAAGCTGTGGTCTTGGGGAAGAGGAAGAAATGGAGTGCTTGGGACTGGGAATGTTAGCGATTGTTATGTCCCTACTCACGTCTTCTGGCCAAATGAGCTGAAACCAGAGAAAGAAGAAGTAGCTGATGCTGACAAAAGCGCATCAACTGAAGAGATAAAACGGCTAGAATCAAAGCTAATGGTGATGGAAAGATATGCAAGCATACTTCATGGATCCATATTTGGAAAACCTTTCAATGAAGAGGAAGATATCCCGTATTCATTACGGGTTTCTGGGTATTTCGATATGGGCAAAGAGTGGGGAGAGATGCTGGAGAGTGCAGATAAGAGTCAGCTAATGAGGCTTCAAGCTTTCTATGAAGACATGATTGGTAGAGTAAAGGACAAGGTGCTGCAGAGAAGGATTCAGGAGATTATGAAAGATTGTTTTCAATCTTCAGCCCCTAAACACTAATATCACTTGTTGTGTGAGATTGGTCAGACCAATTATTATGCACAAATGCACAATAGACTACCGGTATAATAAATTAATCAAGACGACGCTTGTTCAATGTTATTTCTTTCGCAGATTAGTTTTGATATCTTGTACATAACATCCAAATTATGTGATGTTACATCAGGATTGCAGGTTGAAACCATCTCTTATACATGTGTTGAAAATGTTTTCATGAATATCCAAAATCATGGGTAGTTATATATTTAATAAACTTAGATAGAGAAATAATTAAAAAAGAGAAGAGAAATTTTCTAAATTCATTTCAACTACCAATTACTATGTTTTATATTTGGAAAACCACTGAGTTATTAAAATTTACAAAATACTATTTAAACAAGGTTCTTTAACATTTTAAAAGAAGGGTGTGAACTCTGAAATCATTTATTTAACTCCCTTTAAAACCTTTTATTTTGGAGAAGTTTCAAAAAAAGATTTAAAAAAAAAAATTAAAAATGAAAAAAAAAAAAAAAAAAACCTTATCTAGAATCAGTCCAAAAATTATCTTATTTTACTTTATATTTTGAAAAATTATTGACACTGTAGTATCACATCATCCAACAACCAGTGCAGGACAAGAAAAAAATCATCCAACAACCATTGCAATGTCCTTTCATATTAAATTCTCCAATATATAATGTCAATGTAATCATTTTATTGCCAACTCACTATTAATGTAAGTAGAAATATATTGAATTCGAATTTAGATGCTAAGTTTAAAATTGCAAGTGTTATTATTATTGTTATTTTTTTGTGGTTTTACATGTGTACATTAATTGCATCGTAGTCTCCTACATTGTGATTAGATCTACATACATCTGAACTAATCTAATTCAGACAAGCGTATACTAATCCAGAGTATCTAGTGCGTCACAATAAATATAGAAACTTTTTTCGTTGTTGCCAAAATAAAAAATCTTTTTCCCAAAATCAGTTATCATATATCTGAAGCGGGCATATTTGTTGGAAAAAAAACCGTTATCACAACCAGAGCCGTCCCTGAAGTTTTGGTGGCTACAAGCAAAAAAAAAATTTTTTGGCTGATTTTCCCTTTGAAAAAAAAAAAACATTTCTCATTTGCTGGGAATCGAACCAGAGATCAGACTATAGAGTTGCTAGTATGTTTCCAGCTGAACTAAGGGACATTCCATGAAAATAGGGCCGGTTTAGTATATAAATATAAGGCGGCCGCAAGCACCAGCTTTGCTGGCTTGTACTCTTGGCCGGCTCTGATCACAACTTTATCTCGATTTAAACCACTTCATGCATGCATGAATCACACACACAAATTCAAATGTGTTAGCATATATACCCAACGTATATTTAGTAAACTATACTGATGTATTATTCTTCCCTTTTTATCTACATTGTAATAGTTTTCTATTTAATTATGATAATATTTAGGGATTTTTATTATCAAAAAGATAATATTTAGGGTCCATTTTCTTACTAATAAGTAATAACTGTTTTACCAGTGCCAATTTTAACCTAACGGAGGTAAAGTAAGCAATTTCAACCTATAGGTGGGTGTACTGGTGCCAATTAGTAGCTTGTGCATAAGGAAATGGTCGGTTGAGGCATAGCTCGAGAGGTGAGCTGGCTAGCTTTAGATTGCTTTATCGGAGCGAGGAGGCTTGATTCCGGATTTTTGCATATTGGTTTTGAGTGTTAAATATATTATAAATTAAGTGGATATATAAATCATAAAAATTAGAAGAAAAAAAATATATATTCTTAAGTTTACTTAGAAATTTATGAAGAATTTAAATTTTCTAGTATTCTAAAAACCAGACCAGGTGACGCCTAAACTCTATTCAAATTTTCTTTCTCTAGGTGTATCTAAATAAACAGGGAATGCATTCAAATTTTCTTTCTCTATGGTTCATTGGTTTATTAAGCGTTTTAATTGGTTTTAACAAATGGTTAAGTCATCGATCTAACTATCTGTTTAGATGATTGGACGTGTGACTAAGCCACTAATTAAGTTGGTCGATCAAACGGTCTAGATGCTCAAAACGTTCTAATTCACATACAAAATATTTTATTAATATGCAAATTGGTTAGATATTTTGTGCTCTATATTAAATTGTAGAATAAGCTAAAGTGATCTCGGAGCTTTGGATAGTATAGTAATATTTTATAATATATTTGATAGTCAGGTACTGTAAATTTGTCAAGTGTTTATGGTAATTATATTTTCTTCTTAAATTAATCTTTTTTCTATTAATCTCTTTTACACGAATAAATGATTGTCTACCAACTATTCGGTACCTAAAATCGCTTAGACATTACACGTTGAATTACTACCCTATTGTCTAGCACTTTTTGCATACAATATTAATACTCAACATTACTAAATCAAGAAGCACTAACCCAAGATATTTGTACAAAACAATAATCAAAAGCATCCTTGAAATAGCAACCGGCAAAAAAAGGTTTTCCACAAAGAATATTGTCTTTTAAAAGGCAATGCTTTAATACGGGCGTATTCAGAGTTTATAAAATTATGCTGCTATTGCCATGGGTCTTTGCTGTTCTCATTGTCCTCTTCTTTTTTGCTTTGTGATCTTTTTACATATATACAATAAGAAAACATTAATTAACATATATTTCAAAATATAATAAAAGTATATATTCTTAATAATATATAAATTTTAATACAGAAAGATAATGGACAAAAGATTTGGAGCTAGACTTGATAATGATAGTGGGACTTATATATTCATAAGATAAAGTGATTTCTAAATGTATATATTTCTATGTTTTTAGGTAGGTTGCAATTGTCTCAAACGTCAATATTTTTTGGCGTTTATATGTCTAAATAAATCACATTTAAATTAAAATTACAAGTTTATATAATGTTTTGTTACAAAATGTAAACGCACATTGCATTTGCCATTTGGCGTTTGCTGTTATCGTTACATCAAGTCTCTGAACCGGAATAAAAGCCAAAGACGTAACATGCATCATGCATGGCCGGCCCGGCCGGCCGTTATATCAGTTTTCTAAACCAGTTTTATTATATAATGATTTAAGCAAATTCGATTTCTAGTGGTCACCGTCAATTAAATTAATCCACTAAACGTGATTAACCTGCCGACTTACTTGATCCGTAGATATTTATAACAAAGCATATTAGTGGAGAATTTTAAGTGGTTCAGATACCCTTTAATTTATATAAAATTTTCAGCATTTTGTAAAGTCATTTTTGACGATTTTGGTCAAAATTAAATTAATCTCTTAAAAAAAGTGATAAAGGAGTCAATAATTCCTTTTCTGTTTTTGGAGTTTTGCATAGTCCCATCATTAGACACAGATAACTTTGATTTAAGAATTTCAATACCTCATTAAAGATATGCAAGAAAGTTATGTCGGATCCACTCTAGATTTGCCTGGTATACTGTCGTTCATAAAACCTAAGGAAATAATTTAATTATACGTAATGGGGAATAGGTAGGGGTTACGTGGATATATAAAAAAATCCAATGAAACCGGTCAAATTAACCTGAACCAAAATCAAATCAACATGACAAACCAAGGTAAGCAAACTCATGAAATCGAATGAAATTAAACTGGGTGAATCAATCCAAAATTAACTGAAACTAACCAAAAATACGTCAGCCATTATATGCATAATTAAACAGAATATCAGTTTAACTTAGCAAAACTCAAAATCCTACACCGTTGGTTTAGTTAATCTTCAACAGCTAAGCTTTCACTTTTCTAGTTTAGGTAAAAAAGGATAAAATATCTTACATGCATTCAGACAATTAGTAAAGCCTTCAGTCAGAGGAACCTCTTTTTATACTTAACGTTTGGATTCTGTAATTCAAATTATATATCTTGTGAAAATGTTGCAGATTATGTATGGTGGCGGTTTAAGGTTTAGAAAAAAAGGAGGATGTGATTCCAATACTTGAGAACTGCAAAAATAACAAATATTTTTAAACTATTAGATCCCGATCGATGTCGTGTTCTTCCAAATATACTCTGACAATTGATCTAATAATTTTAGACAATTATCTACCCTAACTTAGTACTTACCTTTTTTAGTAGTCTAGTTTCAAGTTAGGTTAAGGGATAGTCCTGACCTAGTCTGATACTTAATTAGTGAGGTGTTTAAATAGAAAACACAAATCGGTATATGCTTGTACGAGTCAGGTAGGTTACTTCTTTTTTTGAATATATATATATATATTCCATAATTAAGAAGAATGAGATCGCATGTATTAATTATCTTTCCTGGGCAATCGGAACTAGCTAAGTCAAATTATAAAGAGCAATGTAAACATGAAACCAACTGGAGAAAAAAAAAACACGAAACAACGTAACTAACAATGTTAAAATATCAAAATTGTTCACTCTATTGATTAAGTATATATATACATAAATCATGGATATACAATTAACAGATATGATACGGATCATTGTTCTATGTCCCACACTCTCGTAAGAAAGTCTTAAGGGGTAAATCCAAAATCTTTTATATGTGTTAAACGGTGTCAGTGACATCATTATTTTGTTTGTTTTGGTAACAATAGTCTTTATCTTTATCTTTAACCAAAAAAAGGACACTAGTCCTTTATCTTGGGCGAAGCTTGTAGTTGTACATTTTATAATAAACAGAATTTCATGTTGAAATCTACAGAAACTTTTGGAGTTGGCAAACTATTGGGTACAATTTACATTTGATTAAAAGAGATAGTAAATCCAGCATATATAATTGATATGTAACCTCGAGTAGCATAACGATGACTAAGACCGTTTAATTTCATGGATATTCCACTTTATAAGACCACGTCGTTTATGGATCATCTCATCTCTTTAATTTTCATGATTATAATTATCCTAAAAACGAGATGTTGGAAGTTAAAAAGATATCCATGTGACAGGACTAGACATGTCACATTCTTTATTCTCCCCATATATAGTATGATCATTCGTCATTCATTTCATATAGATTCAGATATATGCAGTCTACATTTATTTTAGGGTAATTACTATTAGTTCCTTTTAGTTTTCTTTTAACCTGCTCCAGTAACACTCTTACATTTATTTCCTCTTTAGAAAATAACATTCTCATTTTGCTTTAACATAATTACCCTTGAATTAAATTTGTCATTTTATACTAGTCATTGGACGAAAAAATTGTCGACGGATGATGCTGTCCACATTTGCATAGTAATAACTAATTTGAAATACTGTATGGAAATTTTGCCAAAATTCGAAAACTTTAACCATTTTTCAACACTTTTCAAAATTTCTTGTTTACTATATATTTCCGATAATATCAGTGTGTTCCACTATTAAAACTCTAGTAAGTTTTCAGCCTTTTCACACGTTTTTAGAATCTTTCTTTAAGCTTTCATAAGTTTCTCTTTTTTTTTTTACATGAGAAATTAAAACACTGTTCATCAAAAAAAAAAAAAAAACTGTTCGTCATTCAGTGATAGTTTATTTTTTAATTTGATGATCATACCGAAATGTGATAAATTACTCTTTAATCTAACATATCGTAGAATCAGAACCCAAAAGAAATAATCTGTATGGAGCTAGCTAATTAATCAGATCTGATTATACCAAAAGCCTTTCTCTTTTAGTTCTAAAATAAAATGAGCTGTATTATGCTATTGTGTGGCCTATAATTAGGTGGGAAATTTTGGTCATTAACTTACTAATAGATGATGGTAAAGTATTGCCTGGATGTACATATGTGGCTGTGTAATGTTTGCGTCAGCTTGGACAAGTTGCTCACGCTTTGTTTTGTTTTTTTTTCATTGTTTACCCTAACTCACTTTCTCCGTTCCATTTATGTCGACAGAACAAGAATTAATGAATGGTGAGGCTCACATTTTGGAATTATTGATTAAAGCTAAATTCTACTTTTTCTGTCCCCTTTTATTAGATTTTTTTAGTTAAAAGTGTACATGTTAAGAATTTTTTTTAAAACAAAATATATTATTTTATATTTTAGTTTAAAAGAGTTCATTTCAACTAATCATAGAAAATGTAAATACAGCAAAAAAATAAAAAATATATAGATATATTATGTACATTATAATTTTGCATAAATTTTTTCTAAACATATAATAAAATAAAACAAATAAGGAAACCTAAATATTTGATAAAATGAGACAGAAAGAGTATCTTTTTGTATAAAACAAAAACAAAAACACGCAACAGTTTTGAACTTTTGATGATTTGCATTATTACAATATCATAAAGTTAGTGACTCACCCAAAAAAAATATCATAAAGTTAGTGGACTTTTATTTATCGCTTATTCACTTGATGATAGTTACTAACAAAAATTTTACTTTTTTTCTTCCCCTTCTTTTCCGACAAACAAAACCGATATTTATATATACAAAACACAAATATAGAGATGTCAAAAAAAACAAAGAGTTTTGTACACGTATCATTATGGAGCTCACACACGCACCAAAAGAAAAAAAAAAAAAAAAACCCCTTTCTTAGCTAAACACCACAAAACTTAAAAAAAAAAGGTCTTAAAAAAAAGTGATTAAACAAAACACTAATTTTTTTTTTTTGTCATAACAAAACATTAATTATAGTAATGATACAAAATAAACTGTTAGAGATCCCACGACAAGCCATGGCCAAAATAAGGGCTAATTCCGTAACCATAGTTATCTTCCGACGACTGTCCCCACGGCGGCGGATATAAACAGTAGTCCACTGGGTCAGAGAACACAAACTCGTTCCCAAGGTTAGCCGAGTCGACGTCGTAACTCGCTCCGAGACTTGGCAGCTCCACAATCTCACCGAGCTCCTCCGACTCAGTCCTCGAGAGGTCCATCACCAACACAAGAGACTCAAGCGAAGACGTAGAAGACAAAGACGACGACGACGACGACGTGGAAGATGAAAACGACGTCGTCGGTTCCATGTGAGCTGCTTTAAGAGCTGCGGTCTGAATGTCTCTAGGGCTTAGCGAGACGGGTCGAGGAAATGAGTCAGCAAGTTCAGGGAAGTTTAGTATAGCGGAGGTTCCTTTTATGCTCAGAGCCGCCACGTCGTGTGCACGCGCCGCCATCTCCGGCGTCGGGAAAGTTCCGAGCCAAATACGTGATTTCTTCCTCGGCTCACGAATCTCCGACACCCATTTTCCCCAGTTCCTCATTCTTACTCCACGATAAACTGGGTGTTTACCGGAGTCTCTCACACGTTTCGTCTTCTTATTCTCGCTTTGCTCTGCTTTGCTTTTCTGACTCACTGAGTCAGACTCCGAGTTATGGACAAGATGCTGAGTTACTCTCTCCGAGCGGAGGTTATAGTATTCCTCCACGGACGCAGTATCTGCCATTGTTTAGCTTAGGCACAAGAGTCGTACAAGTCTATTATTCTGATTGCTTTTACGATTCGGATCCCAAGATTTATGCAAATAAAGGAAATTAATAACCTCAGGGGAAGAAAAAAAAAGTTTGAGAACTATTCAAAAATGAGGGAAAAAAAACAGGGCAGTGAAGTTAAGAAGAAATGGGAGAGAGATTTTCATATGAGAAGAAGAAACGTTGGTGAAAATTTGTCTATCACTTCTCAGTCACTCAAAATATTTATATGCATTAATATTTTTGGGTACGGGTTAGAGAGGGATGTAATAATGGGACCAAAACAATGCAATAAGTCTATTGAATAAAGGAAATGGACCCAGTGGCTCTATTTAATTTGTTTTTTTCTATAGTCCCACTCTATTTTTTTAATATATATACATTGTTATTAGTATAAAACGACACACTTGGGTCACTGTTTGCTTTAAAGGTTCTTAAAATCTTATTATGCAACTAAATTAGGAAAAAAAATCATTACTTTTATATACAAATGATTATTAGACGACCATATTTAGAATAGCAATGTTGAAGTATTAGACCAACGACTTTGTCCCGCGCGGGTACGTAAACTTTATGAAATTTGTCTCTGAGATGAACATGATGAGACAAGCCTTTATGGAATTTTTCACCTCAATTTTACTGTTTAATTATCCTATACCCTGATTTTCGACTCAGTGTATCATACATGCGCATTTACATATTCATATGTGCATAAGCCTGCTCATGTGAAATCTATCAGCCAATTGTTATTAGGTTAAAGTTGGTTCCAAACGCAAAAGACAGACAAATAATTAAGTACATTTTCGTGTAATAGCTAATACAAATATAAGAAAAGAAGTGTATGTAAAGGAAGCTTCAAGAAATGTCAAGGGACATTAACTTGTTCAATCATGGGACCGTATTTGTGTACCTATAAGGACGAGTTTCTGTCAAACATACACAATATATATATTTTCTAAAGTCTTCTATTAATCATGCCAAAAAATAAAATAAAAATATTTTAGTAATAATTTTGCTTTTAATATTTACAGATAATAGCCATAACTAAGTACTTGCAACGAACGACGTTATTTGTTCCTTCGCCTCTAGTTTCAGCAAGACGTATATGCATTTTATATTGATCATATACATATTACTAATTAATGAGTTTTAAAAAAAGATCAACAAAAGTAATAGAAAGTACAAGTTTCTAATTCAAAATTAATTGACAATAAAGAAAATGACTCTTGTGTTTTATTATTACTTTTTGTAAAACAAATGTTATGTGAGATTCTTGTAGGTCTATTTGAGATGAGAACGAAAATCATTCATTGTTTTGGAAATACAAATACAAGACGAGAACAGTTTATGAGATCAACCGGACAACAAAACCATCAAATAGTTTTGAAAATTTCTTCTCAAGGCTAACTAACTAGTAATAAATAAATGATTCATGTTTTTTTATATTAAATCAAATGCTATAACCTAGTATTTTATTTTAGCTACAAAAGGATTTTAATCAAAATAGTTTTTAATACGTGTCAATTTTCATTACGATATTTTCTTCCTTATGCCCTTAATTTGGCCTTTACAAGATCGTTCAAGCTTTCTTTTTACTCATTTCAGAAATTGTCCTCTAGTTATGAATGGAGACATTCTCAATAAACGAAGCGGACCCACTTATAAATAGAGGGAGAGAAAACAATTTTATATGTATTTAGTATTTCCTTTATTTTATTTTTTGTCAATTTTATGTAAGTTTGTTTAGGCAGACGAAACCAAATATCAATATCTCCCGACTATGGTTTTATTAGGTGTACAGAGACTATAAAGTCGAAATTTCAAAAGAGGGTCCAAAATAAGCCTTTTAGAAAGAGGACCTTTTATTTCGATACAGGAAAGAGACATTTCTTTGCTTTGTGTTCTCGTCATTTGGTAAGATTTTAAAAAATTACAGTGTCAGAGTTCAATTATGAATCCAATGCAGAACTCTCAGGTGTTTTTGGTAGATTGTATGACCTCAGTGTAATTTGCTTTCAATTTTTTTTTTTTACAATTTGACTGGATAGATTTGTGATGGAATTTTACTCTTTGCTATAATGACCAGCCACGACTTTGTATATTACTCCGGCGATGGTTCCAAGCATGTGGCGTTCATTAATCTAGTTGTTTTTACACGATTTAATCTCTTAAGCTTTAGTCTTTTGATTTATTTCTCATTTTTAATTGTACATTTTTTTGGTTGGTTGAGCAATAAATTTAACATTAAATATATACTATTAAGTTATAAATTCAATTGCGGCCAAAGATTGGCTGATTTTTTTTTTCATTTACCGCCTCACATCAAAAAAATATTACGTTTTATATAAGGCACAATATGCAGAAGTTTCTTACAATTTATTCATATGTACCCCAATTCCAAAACCACAGTGATATAATTAGACTTGAGGTAGTTTTATATAGAGATATTCATTGTGTTGTTTACAGAATAAAACACATTTATTTGAAGTTAGAGAATAACTATATACCCTCCACATTCTTCTCTGACGAATGAGCATATAATTAAATTGCAGTTAATATCATGGTGGGTATAGTGTTTATTCCCTATATTCAACTACTACTACTCAAAGAGTATATTTACATATATATCACTATCTTGTGTATCTTCCATTTGAGAGACAAAAAATTGACAGATAGAGAAAATTGAGACACGTCGAGGTGTAGGACATTTACTACTCTTATAACAGTTAACATGTTTTTGCTTTGGAGAGACTAGCGAGTGTGGTCAACGAAACACGCAAATGGTTATCGTTTGACCCATTAAAATCTTGAATTGCTAAATTTTTTTGTTTATTTTTAATCAATATTGATCGATTTTAACGAGATTAATCTGCTTAAAAACACTCATCCGAGCTATCTTGGTTGATTTAACAACGTAATATATAAGCTGATGAAAATACAAAAACGTACTGTATCGGTTAAGTTCAAAGCCCATTTTTCTGTATTAATGCAGTCGTTATTCGTATCATATTTTGGATTCGCATATGATAATACTTGTGAGTTATATATATAGAACAAATGTAAATCTCTTTATTTTCGATTGGGACTGACAAAAAAAAAAAGCAAGATTCATGACTCGTTGTCATGAAGATTTTAGATAAATTTGAGATTTTGTTGGTTTTAGGAAAAATGGATCATTTGGCCCGTATTGTACAAAAATGTGTTTAAAAATCTAAAACACCGACAGGACTGTGTGATGGAGATCTGGAACAGGAGGACCATTAGCAGTTTCACATTATACGACCAAGTGTCAAGCGAGCTTAATTAGTTTAGCAAACAATTGTTTTTGATTAAAGGAAAATAAAACCTACTCTCTAGAATCATCATATACACAAGGGGACACACTAGAACGGAAAAAATAAAAAACAAACGAAAAAAAAAAATACCTAGAATAAATATATACTCACATATCAGTATTATATAAAGTCATATTGGGATTGACAATAATGTATGTGTAATCGTTTGATTGCTAGTACTGTACTATTTATTTTTAAGATTGTTGATAGATCAGTGAGACCAGTCTTAAAAAGATTGCGACCACTCCAGGTACTAATTCATTTATTTTTCCGTTATAAATCATTTAATAAGATTAGACCTTTCGATGAATTAGATCATTCTTCAATTACTTTTTTCTAATTTATGACACACATATATAAATTATGACAGGGTAAAATGATGAAAAGTTAGAAACCATAATATTGTGTAAGAGACGGACAAAACATACAAAAGAAAACATGATCCTGACTCAAAAAGTACATCAAACATCAACAGTCAAAATTCACCATCACCATTTATTATTGCCCACTTCTTTTTTTTTTTTTTTCATTTACTCCAAATTTTTCGGCAAAGAAAACAAATCATTATTGAAAGAAGATATTCAGGGAAATGGAAATTGAAGAAGGTATTAACTATTGAGTGCCTGACTATTCGACAGCTTCAGTCCTGCTGCTTGTTTGTCACATGCAATTGCTTGTTTCATGATATAGCCACACAGTGACTTTGATCAGTACTCTTTGTTCCAAAAGGGTATTTTTAGAGGCACAAAAATCTTCTGAATTTTATTGGTAGACAACATCTTCGGCTGTGTAATAAAAATTGTTTGAAGTCTTTTAATAATGTTTTTTTTTTATATAAACTTTTAATAATGTTTAGAGATTAGGATGGTTTGAATATGAAAAATATTAACTAAAACTGAATATTTCATTAAGAAAAATAACTACACAAAGTTTTAAGAAAAGAGATGGCGAGAGAAACATTAAACATAGATTATATATAACATATAATCTTGTTGAGATGAAACTTAGTAGGAAAAGAGATATTGTGTCCATGAAAGATCAAATGATTAAGAATATTGAAAACTCTGGAAGACTAACTCATAAATATGAAAATTTGATCGATTCAAAGTTACTATTCCTACTTAACTAAAATTGTATCGCACGTTTCTTTGCTTCTACATGAACAACTTTATACCGAACTATTGTTTCATGGAAACATCCTCAATGGTCCATGAACAACATTCTGAGCATATACAGCAACGATCTCCGATCACTTATTCGATAAACACTAACAAGTAATTAAATTAAAAGGTTCTTGACCTTATCTGCTATTGGATATTCTTCGCTAATAACAAGTTTATATGGTTTACACTTTCCTTCTCTTGTGGCTTAGGATGAAATCATCATCGTCGTCGTCATCATCATCAACGACTTTCTTCTTCTTTCTTGCATCTAATCCGTTGTTCTTGGACGCAGATGTTTTTTGAGAACTCTCCGCTTTACTTGTAAACGTTGGTGCCGGTTTAGTCGGTGTCCCCATTCGAATTTGCTTCATCTTTCTCTGTTTTTTCTCAAACGCTCGCTTCGCCTTATCGGGAGACAACATACCATGTTCCATTAGCCTGTTCCAACACATTCGAAACCATTCAATTTTTATGCTATAATGAGCCAAGAATAATGTACTCATCATAAAGACTTTTCAATACTGTTTTTCTCACCAGAACTCAGCCATTTCGCTCCCAGGTATTTGTTTAGATAACGATTCATAGAATATCCTCAAGGGCTCTCTCTGCAAATGCAAAAGACAGAGAAACCAAAAATCAAGAGCATGATGATAAAAGAGAGATTTAATAAAGCAATCATTAGATATGTCTTATAACCTCTTCAGGAGGATCAAACTTTTGTCCAGGTAATGAATAAACCTTCTTCTCTCTTTTCGCTTTCCCTTTCGCCAAGCTCACTGCTGCAGATGTTGTTGCTGTAGACTTCACTGAATTTACAGGTACTTTGGGTTTCGCCTTCACAAAAGTTTTGCAGAAAATATGTTACAAGTTCGACCTAGAAACCAAAATATCCGAAATCACGTCATAATGCAGAAGTTCAAGAAATGGTAAAAGGAATCTATCACCAACCCAATTTCAACTTCATCGCCAAATAAAAAGTTCGATCTACAACGAATAAAAGTTAACAACAAAAATAATTCCCTAGATCTCTAACAATGACCAACCAACAATTCGATGCACTATTTTAAACCTAGAGATTGGCTTTGTCAAATTCAGAGCTTTGAAGAAAATTTCGGAGAACCCAAATCAGAAACGCGCGATCGAAACTTAAAGACACAGACTTTTCTCGATTTGATACCTCGGATTTCGCCGTGACGGTGGAAACAGAGGATCTGGGTTTGGAATCCGACATGATCGGTCTGCTAGAGGTCGCGATCTTCTTTTTGTCCTTAATGGACGGATCGATCTTGACTCTGGAAGAAAGAGAAGAAGACCCATCGCGTGGCTCGCTCTTAGCTGAACTTGGTCTCGCCTGTGTCGCCATCAAAAGCTCAGATTGACCTGAAATTCAGCTCAACTACTTTTTCTCTGCTCGAAGAATCCGACAATGATTTCTTGAAAAGAGATGCTATCTTCCGATCAAGTCTTGTCGCTTTCATAGTTATGTAATGAAACGGTAAAAACTGAAAAGTTAAAAACGACCGATTTGCGGTTACCTTTTTAACGGTAATTTAAAATTTACACGAGGAAATTCATTAATATATTAAACACTCACCAATCGGATACCTTTGTCTTTCCTCCTAATCATTTTAATTGGAGATTTTTTTGGATATTTCTTTTGAGAAAAATTAAATCTAAAAATTTTGTTGAGTGATGGATCTTATAAAAGAAATAAATATATACTGTAATTGTGTTAATCTCTATGATTTCATATATAAACCAGATTAATTTCTTAATTTTGAAATACATTTATTGAATACTAATTCTAATTTTTTTTTCTTTGAAAAACTTTCATAAGTTGATTAACTTAAGAATGTATCTATTTGTAATCAAGTCCAGTTGACTAATATGAATCAGTCAGTAATCTCCAATCTTCAGTTGATGTAGTTAATTATTAGTAACACACAAAATTATAACTAGACCAAAAAGTACAAATTGATGTAACAATCCAGACCAGATTAGGTGGCTAAAAACGTTTGAAAAACTCGGTTATACCAAACAGAATGAAGAATCATATGAAATACATCATACCGAACCGGTTCACCATCATGCCACATGAAATGTTTTTGAACCTTCATAACCCTCTTTTGCATCTCCACGTATCTCCTCACCGGAATCGATATCAGAATCTTCCTCAAATTTGGAATCTCTTTCTCCGGCACAAACACAGCGAATGACTCCCAATTCAGAATCTCAAGAAACGGTGGTACAAAGTTATCAGAGATAATAACCGGAACGCAACCGTACAAAATCGACTCTACCACTCTAGGGCTATTCACCTCGTAACCTTTAGCACAAACGCAGAATCTGCTGCGTTTCATGTATCGGATGTAGGATTTGTGATCGATCCGGTTAAAGATCTTCATATCTGGTTCAGGTCTCGAAGACCATTGTTTAAGCAAGATGGGTCGAACATAACCGTGTAGGTTCCCGGCGAAAAAAGCGAGGATGGTTCGCTTGGAAGGGCGGTTACCTCCAATCTTTCCGTTTGGGTTTTGTGACGAAGAGATTTTTGTTTCCGGCAAAGAGACATCTTTTCCGACCACAAAGTCTACTCCGACATCAGCGTTACAGAGTGATCTGATACAGTTTATGTATGGTCCTCTAGTCTCAGCTGGAGCCTATAACAAATATGAACTTGCATTAAGAAAACCAAATTATAATGATTAGATCAATTGACTAAAATGTCGATTGTTTTAGATGCCAATTTAATATATTTTCATTTTTCATAAAATAATCTTAGAGAGTGTAAATTTGCACCAAAAATTGATGCTAAACCGTATATGATAAATGCAAACAAAGTTTGTCTTCTGATTTAATCTTTGATGAATTACATGTATGATTAACAAATAAATTTTATTAGAGTACTAGAGATTCTAGTTTCATTTGAAATAAAATATTTTGTTCTAGCTTGTAAAAAACAAACGTTAATGCAAACCAAAAAATTGAGGTGTTAAAAGCACATACCCAATCATGGCAAGCGGTGAAGAAATGATCGGAGCCACGGGTTCTATTCCAGAAAGGGTAGTTGGAAGCGATGAGATCGATGTAGTTTTTAAGATATTTAACAAGATTTCTACGACTGTGAGAGTCATGGACGTAAAGTTTCTGTTGAAGAATTCTTGAACTGAAAGGTAAGTAGAATAGATGAGCTTTGGTGGGATCTCTTGTCAAGAATCTATGGCTACTTTCCATTAGTTTCATAAACCATCCTTCTGATGCGTAAATCCCTTCCATTATTGCCTCAGGCTGATGGAAGATGGGTCTGTCCCCTTCCGAGTAGACATACACTTTCAGAGTTTGTTCCATTAGCTCATAGCTCCTATAAGAGATAGATTATTTAAATCAATTTTTAGTCAATTACATGCATTATTCGGATTTGAATTTGGTTAGTGAGAAATCGTCGGCACCTAACATAAAAATGATTGTTTCAAATTCAAATATTGTTTGCACTTGCTTCTTGAAGTTCCAAATATTTTGTTTAAAAAAAAAACCAATTTCATAATTGCGATTTTTCCATGATTATTGTTTCCGTTTGCAACAACCACCAATAAAAACACTAAAATATGGTGCTCTCTTTTGAAAATAAAATACTAAACCTTTGCTATCTTCTAGATCTCTACCCTTATATATGTATGGCTAGATTGGTTAATGTAAATGTTAGACCTTTTGAAGATGGATAGGTTGTGGTAGAGAGGCGCGTAGAGATTATCATCCTTCTTGACCAAAGCCGCGTTCTTGATCTTGTCTCTTGCAGTTCTAAGCTCTTCGTCCACTTTTGATCCCCAACGAGGTGCCTATGAACATGAAAAAGGTAGAAAATAGGGAATGAACGAGTGTTGAGTAGTAAGTAATTGGAACTGAAGGTAAAATCATTTCCATATACAAGTGAATTTTTTGGATCGTTATGACGCTTCAATATCATATTGTTCATCTGTGTTATTGATATGACAACTACTGGTGGCTTTTTTGTGCTCCTGTGGGGATATTTCTTGTGGATTTGAGGAATCTTGGGTTGAAGAGAATGCAGAGAACTTGCGGTTTCATTGCTTCTTCTACTTTGTCCAGAAGCTTCTATTTTGGGAGAATCATTCAGAAACTTGTGCTCAGAACTCTTCAAAACCTCCGTAGTGATGTTGTTATATGGTTTAAGCTCAGTGGATGCTTCTTGAGATGCAAGAAACGTTTCATTTTCAGTACTTTTGGTGGTATAATTGGATTCTCTGTATTCAGAAACAGTGCCGTTTCCAGGCGAAACAATAGATAGTACTGGAGCGAGCTCGAAATACTGAAGGCCTGAAACGAAGGCAACAACCATAAGCATGAGAAGAACAACTCTACAGGTTTCCACTTGGCCTAGAAACCGCAAAACCCGACTTTGATCCATCAAAACCTGGAAAAAAGTTACTAGCTTAGATTTCCAGTGAAATAAATGGATCTCTTCTTCCTGAAAATAAGTTGCAGAAAACAAGATTTGTTTTGTCTAATCCAAAGGTACATACACCAACTGTAACTGATACAAGACTTTAAAAGTTGATGTATTAAGGAGGCTTGTTCCAGAAACATAACTTGATCACTTACAGATACATCAGATAAGAGCTTGAAATGTTTGTTGATATATGGAACTGTCGAATCTGAGCGTTTCTTTGAAGTTTCTTGGATTGATCATCAGGAGAGGAGGATATATTCAGACAAATAATTAACAAGCAAAGAGACAAGACAAGGCAATCGATGGCTTTAAATTTGGTTCAATCAAAGTCTTGACTAATTATGTATTTTAGTAGAAGTTTTGTTTTGGATTGATAGGCCAACAAGGTATGATAATAACTTTTCTCAGATTGTCAAAAGACACCCCTTTATTATCTAAGTTGATCAATTATGACCCATAGTTTATTTTTCAAAAGCAGCCTCTGTTTTTTTTTTCCTACTATTATTTTTCAACATTTAAATCATAGGCCAACAACAAGGTATGATAATATTACCCAGTCTGATTTGTTAGTAGTTGAGTTGACCTGATTAGTGTCTATAGAGTATGTATATTTCACGAATGTAGTAACTTGCACAATCCAAGAAAATGTTTAGAGAGCTCTCAAAACAATGAATGTATAATTTGAAGTTCGATGTATATATGAATTTCAGTGTCACCGTTTGCGTCCCGCACTCTCCTCCGCCACGTGATCCAAGCATCGGAAGTTGTGAATTTCTGTGTTTCCCTAAGAGAAATTAAATCGTCGGCTTCATCGTTTTTTTTTTTTTGTTAATTTTAATTCTTGTAGTACTATTATTTAAAAATATTGTTGTTGTTAAATTTACAGTACTTTGGTTAAAACTATAGTATTAACAATTAAACAATCACATAACAATCAATCCTTTAACTTCCTCAACATGGGCGTTGGCTCGTGCCAACCCCATCCTCCACTTCCTCATCAACGTAAGGAGCTAGATTCAAGTAACAATTACCGTGGCAGTTCTCATTATTACCACCAATATTAGGATTCTTACTAGAACTATTGGCTGGCCACCTGTACAGAACAAGAAAGGCTGAAGCTTTTAGAAAAATGTTTTCTTTCTTGATAACTTGTAATAGGGTTTTACACTTGAGTTATATACAGTAAAGTAGAAAGATCTAGATACCGAAGACTCTAGAACAATGCCAATCTTATCTACAAACGGCTAATGCAGCTGGCTGTGATGAGTCATCAACAGGCTCCTTCCTTGAAGCTTCGTTACTCTGTTTTGCAAAAGAAGAAGAATCATCTTTTGTCATCTTCTGTTGACTGGACTGTGGTGGGCTTTCTGTTGTTGGGCCTGATACTTGTTTATTGCTCACACTCCCCCTCAAACTTGGTGTGGGTGATGAGGACACGCCGAGTTTGCCTCTGAGATCAGTGTATCCTCGTCGTGGTAATGGCTTTGTAAACACGTCAGCAAGCTGAAGAGCAGCCGGAATATGATGTGTCTCAATCAAACCTAAGGCTACCTGCTCTCTGATGTAATGCCAATCTGTGTCAAAATGCTTTGAGCGGCTATGAAGAGCAGGGTTAGCAGAGAGATAGACAGCGGAAAGATTGTCACAGTATACTTGGGTAGGAAAGTACTGTGGAACACCAAGGTCTCGCAGTAAGGAAGAGATCCAAGTGAGTTCTCTGGCTGCATATGTGAGGGCTCGATATTCTGCTTCAGTGGAGGAGTTGGAGACTGTTGGTTGACGTTTAGCCGACCAAGAGATCAAGTTGGAGCCTAACAAGATGCAGAAACCAGTAGTGGATCTTCTAGTGCTCTTACAGCCTGCCCAGTCACTGTCACTAAAGGCAGAGAGAGCTAGAGTAGTGTTTCTTTTTATTGGTAGACCCATCCCCATTGTACCTTTGATGTACCGCAGTATCCTTTTGAGCAAACCGAAATCAGATACTGTTGGAGAGTGCATTCTTTGACAGATAAAATTCACAGCAAACTGAATGTCGGGGCGTGTGATTGTGAGATATTGTAGCTTTCCCGCAAGGCTGCGGAAATAGGTTGGTTCTGAAAATAGCTCTGAGTTCAGATTCTCCAACTGTGATGGCAATGGTGTTGGCATGGGGTTGCAGTCACTCATCCCTGCCTGTTGTAAAATATCAGATGCATAGGCTGTCTGATGAAGGAATAGACCATTTGCATAATCTTCTATTTGAATACCAAGAAAATATCGTGGAGGACCGAGATCTTTCATGGAGAACCTGTTGTTGAGAGCTTGTAGCAGGTCTTGTAGGAGAGTTTGATCACTTCCTGTTAAGAGTATATCATCGACATACAGTAACAAGTAGAGGATTTTTCCATCTTGGTGACACACGAACAAGGAAGGATCCGCTTTACTGCAAACAAAACCAAAGTCAAGAAGAAAGTTGCTAAATGTATCAAACCAAGCACGTGGAGCTTGTTTTAACCCGTAGAGAGCTTTGGTGAGTCGACAAATATGATTCGGTTTTTGAGGATCAATGAAACCAGAGGGTTGATACATGAATACTGGTTCTTGCAGCTCTCCATGTAGGAAGGCATTAGAGACATCAAGCTGCTTTATAGGCCATCCTTTGGCTGTGGAGACATCAAGAACAAGGCGGATCGTTGCAGTACGAACCACTGGGCTAAAAGTTTCCAAATAATCCACTCCTTCCTCCTGATCAAAGCCCTTAGCAACAAGCCTAGCTTTAAGCTTGTCAACTGAACCATCCGGCTTAAGTTTAGTCTTGAAAACCCACTTAGAACTAAGAATGTTCATGTCATCACTAGGGGGAACCAATGACCAAGTTGATAACATGTGAACACGAGTAATTTCCTCATGAACTGCTGCATTCCATCCAGGATGTTTCATTGCCGATGCAAGAGTTTTTGGCTCAATGGTCTGTTGTTGGGTAGTAATGAGAGCATACCTTGGATTTGGCTTGTGTATTCCTGCTTTTGATCTTGTGGTCATAGTGTGAGTGTTGGCTACTGGTTCTGGACCTTCAATAATCTCCTCTTCTGTACCCGGATTCACATCTGCATCAGTTTCTTCACCATCTGAGATTGGTTCAGGTTCTGTTTCTACAGGAAGTGGCTCAGGAGCAACATTGACTGGTTTAGGTAGTAATTGGACTGTAGCTGCAGGAGTAGTTACTTCAACAGCTTTGTGATGTTGCCACGCTTGTAGAAGTGGTGTTGAGTACTTTGGCACTAGAGACTGATACTTGTCTTTGAATGGAAGCTCAGATTCATCAAACATGACATTTCTTGAGATATATACCTTTCCTGTTGGCGGATATAAGCACCGATACCCTTTATATTGACTGTTATACCCAAGGAAAACGCACTGCAAGGACCTAGGATCAAATTTATGTTGAGCCATAGGCCTGAGACAAGGGTAACATGCTGAACCGAATACACGAAGAGATGAGTAGTCAGGTTTGAGACCAAAGAGAGCTTCATGTGGACTGAGATTCTTCAGAACAGAGGATGGTAAGAGGTTGATAATGTAGTTAGCAGTGAAAAAGGATTCCACCCAAAACTTCTGAGGTGTATGGCTGTGAAAAAGCATAGATAAACCAAGCTCAACAAGATGTCTATGCTTCCTTTCTGCCAAACCATTTTGCTGTGGAGTGTAAGGGCATGAGATCCTGTGATGAATGCCATGTTGACTGAAATGTTCTTTTAGCTTATTGCTCACAAACTCTCCTCCACCATCACTCTGAAACACTTTGATCTTAGTGTTTAGCTGATTCTCAACCAATTTCTGAAATGAGATAAAGACTGAAACAAATTCTGACTTGCTCTTTAATGGATAGAACCAAGAGTATCTTGAGTAATCATCAACAAAGATTGCATAAAATTTGAAGCCTTGATTAGATACAACCGGAGAAGGTCCCCATAGATCACAATGAACCCGATCTAGAGGATGTAAAACACGAGAATCTGATACAAAAAAAGGTAACTTTGAACTTCTCCCCATCTGGCAAGGTTCACAAATTGGAGAGGTTCTGCTCTTATTCATCTGAATCGCCTTGCTGTGTTGAAGGTGCTGGAGAGCTTTAGAATTTGCATGTCCAAGTCGATGGTGCCACACTTCCTCTGTTGCTACACATTGACGATTTGAGTAAAGTGCCACAAACTCTTGATTCTCCAGCACATAGAGCCCATTTCTACGAGGACCCTTGGTTACCACTTTCTGTGTTTGTAAATCGATTATACAAACTTTGTTAGCATCAAAGTAAACACCACATGGATAGTCATCACACAGCTTTGACACAGAAAGAAGAGACTTTTGTATATTGGGAACAACCAGAACTTCATTCAAGGGAATCTTACCTTTTGAGGAATTAATAGTGGTAGAACCAATGTGAGTTATAGGAAGATACGTACCATCACCAACTAAAACCGCATCATCACCATCATATTGAGCTGCAGACTGAAGAGCATTTGTCGATGATGTCACGTGAGCAGTCGCAGCTGAATCTGGATGCCACTCTTTTCCAGTTTCATCAGAGACACGGAGGGTGGAGAAAGCTTGAACCTCTGCTTGGTAGTTATTATCGAAGCGATTATAGCACTTAAGAGCAGTGTGCCCAGTTCGACCACAGATTTGACACACTGGTCTCGGTCCTGAAGCTTGTGGAGAGGACTGATGTTGAGAGAATCCCCGTCCACGAGTTGTGTAGCCTCCTCTTCCTCTGTTTTGACCGGAGCGACCCCGTCCTCTGTGATTTGGCGTGTATTGCGGAGCACCAGAGTCGCTTCTCTCAGTGTTGAATGCAAGATGAGGCGTAACTGAGACTGCTTCTTCATAGGACTGAAGCTTGCTATCGAACCCTTGAACCTCAGAGACGACATCGTTAAAGGTTGAGGGTGACTGAGCTCGTGACGTGAACCTTGGAAGGGAAAGGGTATGAGGTCGCCATTTGAAATACCTGTGAGGGCTACAAAGGCTCTGCTACCATGTACAGAACAAGAAAGGCTGAAGCTTTTAGAAAAATGTTTTCTTTCTTGATAACTTGTAATAGGGTTTTACACTTGAGTTATATACAGTAAAGTAGAAAGATCTAGATACCGAAGACTCTAGAACAATGCCAATCTTATCTACAAACGGCTAATGCAGCTGGCTGTGATGAGTCATCAACAGGCTCCTTCCTTGAAGCTTCGTTACTCTGTTTTGCAAAAGAAGAAGAATCATCTTTTGTCATCTTCTGTTGACTGGACTGTGGTGGGCTTTCTGTTGTTGGGCCTGATACTTGTTTATTGCTCACACCACCGTGCACGACATACCACGCAGATGCCGGGCCGCCGTCCACGACTCCTCCTCCACGCCAGCATGCATTCTTCATGAACCTTGTTCTTGCAGACTCTGCACTTCACCACCGCGATTTCCTTCTCCTCGCATCCACCCTTTTCACCGCCTACGTTTTTAATGGCGTTTATATCGTCTAGACATATTGGACATGTTGCCGGCTCTTCGTCCACCTCATTTTCCTATTCAAGATAACAAATGATATATGCATGTAAGATATATTTATATCTACACAAAAGTAAAATTTGATTTAAACATTGATTAGGGTAAGCAAAAAAGTAACCATAGAAAATATGTAAAAGATTTAGATTTCTCTATATTTGTTAAGTGATGTCACAACAAAAAGAACATGTTATTTGTCTATATATATATTATTATGTAAAACGACGTAATCCATTTTTTTCAACAAATATTTTCAAGGAATTTCCCATTACGGCGACAAATATGGTAGAAGACTACCATTTTACTGGTGGAGGAGGATGCGTTAGTAGTATAGCCGGGTTGAGAAGTGGCGGCTGAGAAAAGCTGAAGAAACCGTTGCTGGAGGCGGAAACTGGCGAGGCAGTCAGGCCGTGTCGGGGCAGAGAAGAGACGGAAGAGTAGACATGGCCGGAGTCTCCGTTGCCTGAGACACTTATCGTCGAGAGGAATTCCAAGAACTCGAATTAAGACAAACAAGATGTGTTTGCACGGCTTCTTACGGTCGGGACAAGTGCAAGTAGGTGTGGCCATTAGCGTCACGGTGTAGACGTTACACGTTGCACCGAGAACATGAAACGTTCCGGCATTAGGACGGTGGAGAAGGCGGATCCGGTGACGGAGAGCTCGAAGTATCCTATCTGCAACCGGTTGAGCCAAGAAATGCCGTTGGTCACGGTTACTGACGAACGGAGATATTTGATTGGATCCGACAGATTCCATGATTTTTTTAAGAATTCCGTTACGGCAGTTGGAGATTATGCGAGATATGTATCCATGTTAAGTATATAGGTACAGTTACTTATACATACACGTCATGTATTTATGTGGAGATGCTTTGTATGAAACATTGGCACACGTGTGGAATAACGGCGACGTGTAGGAGATCACAAAGACGGCGTTACACGGAAGGTAAAGTTTACTTGGTTTAATTGATCTAAAAATTAAACTATGTTAGACGTCGTGTGGTGTTTTGGTAGAACTGTAGCACACCATGCCGTTTCTTTCTCATTGACTTTTGTTTGATACGTCGTCGTTTTTGGTTAAACCTCGAAAAAACCCCTCTCTCTTCCTTGCTCGCAGTTAACCTAGAAATCAAAATCTCAGCTTCACATTCGTTTCGTTTATCCGACAAAATGGCTTCTCGATGTCGATCTTTATCTAAACCAGCGTTGTCTGTGTTTAGATCTGCAATGAACAAGCCCTCTCTTCGTCCCAAATCGGCTTCATCATTCCTCGGCGTCCCTCCGTCGCCTGGATTTTCGAGGTAATACAAATATGAGGTTGTTTCGTCATCGTGAGTTCCCGATTGATGTAATTCTTTAAAGGGTTTGTTTTTGTTGTGATTTTGACTTCGATAGGCCAATTGCTCAACTGGGTTCGCTTCAATCGTTGCTTCCATTGTACAGTGCGGTGGCTTCAGCTAGATTGACTTCGTGCCTGGGTATCGATTCACAGAATTCTCGGTCATTAGCTCAGGGTATGCTCTGCAGTGCGAATCCAGGAGTTTGATATTCTTCCAAATGTTTTGTGTTTTGTATATCTGTAAGCAACCTTTTTTTTTTTACTCTTTGATCTTTGCATAGCTTCGAACTTAGATGTTGTTTGCTCTTGCTATCAAATTAGAGACCTTTGATTCTCTTAAGTCAGAATCTGTAGCAGTGTATAGTCTGGAAATTGCTTTTACTGGATAGTTCTGTGAAACTTTGATACCCATTTTTGCAAATATGAGTATTGACCCTGAATTCAGAGAATATCTGACTTTTACTGGATAGTTCTGTGAAAAGTTTGATACCCATTTTTGCAAATATGAGTATTGACACTGAATTCAGAGAATATCTGAGTTTTTGCTGTTTCAAGCTTGTCATGCTCCACATAGGTTTGATCTTACTTTTCCATTCCTTTCACATTGTGCAATTTCACTAGGACTATTGCGGTTTTCAGATATTCTGTTTAGTGTACTATTAGTGTATGCAGGGACATAGAGTTCTTTGGTCACATATAGGTTCTTGCTTTTGAAAGAATTGTATTGGCTTGAAGATTGAAGATGACATGTTGGTGTTACTCTTTCTTGATCTTCAAACTTCTTGTAGTATTGATTGAAAACAACTGAAACAAGTATGTGTTGATGAAACAAGTATGTATTTGAATGTCTCTCATGTTTTTTTGCAGAGCTTGGCTTAAGCGTGCCTCGATAATGAGACCAGACTCAGAAGAAAATGGATTCGTTTGGTGATTAGATTCTCCGCATTTTAGCTTTGCTGGTCTAATTCAGTCACTCAGATCAGTTTTCTGTTTTCTGGATGATAAAACACTCGCTTCTTTCGTTACATCCAACAATTTCGTTTGGAATTTCTACCTTCAACATATCAAAGATTGAACAATAACAGTCTCTTGTCTATGTCATTGGTGTTCCCAAGTTATGGTTATTAGTATTCGATTGTTGGATAGCTTTTTTTTCTTCTTAATTGTGGATATGAATTATTCGAATTTTGATTCCTATTTAAAATGAAAAATGCCTATGCAATGTGAAAATTGTGCCAAGACATGAGATGTCCAAAATTATGTATGTAGTAGATAAACGCCTTGCCGTTTATTGTAAGTAAAACGACGTGTGTTTTCAAACAAACCTTTTACCTCAGACTATCAGCAAATTCGAGCTCACGGAGAATCGGAGATTCGTCGGAGATAGCAAAAATGGAGAAGAAGCGTGAAGGAGTAATCGAAGGAATGAGTCGGATCGTATCAGATCCTTACTATTTCCTCCATTTCATGGCCTTTTTCTCTTACCTTCCGATTCGTAGCTCCGCCGCACCGTACACTTCTCATCGACTCTTCGACAGAGAAATCCAAGCATTTCTCGCGTTTCTTATGTTTTCCGCCATTAAGGTTTGAATTTTGCTTAAATCTCTTACTTCTTAGCTTCCTGCTTCATCGATTTCGTTTTGTAGATGGTGAGGGAGGAAACATGGGAAGCTTTCGTTGCGGATAGTTTACTCTATGCTAAGGTTAACTCTAGCTGATTTCAGATTCTGATTCAAAAATTGATTTGTCTGTCACTTTTAGGATTCATGTGAAAATCTACTGATACACATTTTCTTTGCTCAGATCTTTCTCATTGCGGTTTCATTGATTATGGATTATCGAGTGGCGATCTGGTTTAGTGTCATATTTTCAGGTGAGCTCAATTTCCATATCTGATATTATATGGAAGACGAAGATTTGAATGTTGATTGATTTGAATGTTTCCTTTTGCAGTTATATATCTATTAGCTCAACAACCAGCATTTAGTAAACTAGGTATGGGAAGATTCTTCAAGTTCTTGCTTTTCTGTGAATTCTTGTAATCGAAAGTTGTGTTTTTTGTAAAATGCTTAAACGTTCTGCAGGAACTGCGAAGAAGCTTACACCTATGCAATTGGAGGATTTGTTATCAGATGGGAGCACAACAAAATACTGGTTGGTATGTGGCAACTTGGCTTTATCTTTTACTTGATAATGTTGTTGACCTTTCCAAAATTAGTGAGTTTGTGATTTTTGATGATACATTTGAATATTTGATTAACCAAGGAGTAGTTTTTGGGTAATGAAATGATTTTATTGCATAGAGCAGAGCTTTTACACTCAGATTCCGGTAAAGCATTATGTCTATGAAGCTTGATTCATATAGCCTCCCCTTACTATTGTGACATCAAATTTTGTCCTTTTTTTTTTTTGGTTCGGTGTCAAACCAATTAAGAAACAGAACTGATATGCAACATCTTAATTAGTGAAACAATATATTTAACTGAAAATTGGCTCCAAAGGGTACTGTTGTAGCTATTTTTATGATGATGTGCTTTCACACCTTTTGCAGATAGAATTCTTTGCATGTAGTTCATCCAAGTGTGTTCGTTCTAGCCGTTGCTTTCCTGAGCTCTCCATCACGTAAGCTTTGTGTAAAGAAAAAACCCCAGTTTAACTGTTTGTCTAAAGATACACGCTTACCTCATGTTCCATTTCTTCAGGTACTCGAACAATCTTTTGTCTTTTGGAACTGTCGATCTTGGACTTTTCCCTAATACTGCGGCAAAGTTTGGAATATCTCTTGCGGGTAACAGTCCTCCACGGACTCATTTATTTGCAGTTTTTCACAAACTCAAAAACATAATTAGCCTCTGGTGTGAAAGCAACTGATGTAGTGTATTCGTATATAGGTGGAATGTCTCAGCTTCCCACATACATATTGTTTGAAAAGGGTGTCGAAGTTTCTCGGTTCCCAGACTTTTATGTTGACGCTGCTCCTTCTTTACCCATAACCAAGGTTTACATGCTTCTACATGACTAGCTAAAAAGCAGGTTTTTCAATGGCTACATAGAGGTTTTAATGAAATCTCTAATTGTTGATGTTGCAGAAACTTTTGTGTCAACATTTTGAGCTTGATCGGCTTCTGCTCGACTATATAAACGGATCATAGCTGGAGAAAACGAGTTTAACTGATATACGACTATCTGGCTTCTCCTGCAAGAGCAGTATGAAGTTATGAACACAACACATCGATCAACGCACCATCGGACTATCACATTCGTATGTTTATTCTCTTATAGTGGGCATTTTTGGTGAGTCTCGCCAGAGGAAAAGGACAGATTATATTTTAGTGCTATAGAGAGATAGAAGATTCTGTTGAAATTTTATGGGGCTTGAATTTCGACAAAGAATTCTTTAATAGGATGGTAATGAAATCTCAATTTCTGACTTTTTAATTTAATGCCGTTCGTTTTCATGACTTTTAAGACTTGTCGGAACTCCTACGTCTCTTATGTACTTCCTATGTCATGTGTGGACTAAATTAAATCAAATTCGAACACAAAAAAGTTACAATAATACTCTCACACATGGATACGAATTCATACGATATGAATTAATGATGGATCGTGCGGCGACTACGTTCCCAAATATCGTGTGTATCATATCTTTTACCTGCCATTTAATTTCCGCAAACATTCCAAAATTAATATGTAGGGAAAGCAACAACTACAGTAAAACCTCTATAAATTAATACTCTATAAATTAATAACCTCTCTAAATTAATAAATTCTTCCGGTCCCGAGTTGGGACTAGTGTAAAATATGACATAAATCGATAAATTAATAAAATAATATTTTTTTTGAAAATCTCATGTAAACATATGGTCCCATCTATATCATAAATTAATAATTGTATAAACTTATCAATATATATATATATATATATATAAATATTTGTGTATATTTAACTTAATATATATATATATATATGATATAAATTTATATATGTCATATATAAATTACTATGATATATATTTAAAATATTATATGTAAAGTATTTAATGAAATATGACTCTATTATTCAAAAAAAGTTTGTGTTGTTTTTTAAACTTAATAATTACTTCTCTACTTGTAATTGGTTTTAAAAAGATATTGCTTATAAAAAAAATTATTTTTAGATAGAATTGTTTAAAAAATTACAAAATTAGTAAAATCTCTCTATAAATTAATAATTATTAATTTATCGATAAATTAATACCTCTTTAAATTAATAAAATTTCATGGTCCCAATATTATTAATTTATAGAGGTTTTACTGTAATAATAAGTAGTATGTGATAAAAAGCATCGTTATCTTTAAAAGACGTGTGATTAGGAGTTGATGAACAAGAAAATCATACACTTGGTAAAGGTGATGCCTAGTGGCAGAGTCTGGTCAACATGTTCCAAAATCCCAATTTAAGTCATTAATTAATGATTGATTAATCTCTTGGCTCGGCTTGTTTCTACACTTTCTCGTCTCTATCGTTTTATTTTGTTTACATATATAAGTATAATAAATACACGATCATATGAAGATTCGTATAATAAAATATAAGAATGTGTCAAAATCTAACTAATCATATTAGGCATACAAATCTTTGTAATGAAATAAAATGGTATAATATTTAATTTTTAATATAACCAAAAAATATAATGATGCAGTTTCTCAAAACGCGGTTTTTGAGCCGAGTCGTGAGTAAATTTAATTAAAATCATTAATGTCGTAAGTAACGGACCATTTATCTAACTCATCAACGGTTCCCGACCGAACTCTCGCAGAAGCACCGTATCTGCACCGTCCAAATTTATGACTTGACCGCTCAACAACATTACTACATGATCTCGTTAGTTCAACAACCAATGAAATATAGCCACGTAGTCACTCACACGATCCTCCGCCACTGCATTAGATTAATGAAAACTTCTTCTTCTTTTTTTGTCGTCTTTTAACTCATTGAAGTATTCACCCCTATAAATTGAGTCCCACCATTTCCCCCAATTTTCTGACATTTTCTCTGTTACACGCTTTCTTCTTCAATTTTTATTTTTACGATTTGTGTTTTTGATTTTTCCGGCGATGGCGTCAACTCCGGCGGAAATGGAACAATTGACATCAGGAGCGAGCAATCGGATAATATTTATCTTGAGAACGCTAAGGAAGTGTCTCGTCTTCGTTCTCTCTCTCGTCCTTTCTCTTCTCCTTATTCTTCGTCTCCGTCCTCGTCGCCGTGTCTCGCCTCTTTCATCGCCTGAGGAGGAGGCAGTTCCGGCTCCTTCGAGGCGATGGAGGCGGAAGATGGCGTGGAAGCTGGAGGAGGAAGATACGGCTAGACGTCGTTCCTTAGCAGAAGGCGTTGAGATGGCCGGAGATGGACAGATCTCTTGTTCGTTGTTTTATGGCCGTCGTGGTAACGCTTTATTCTCTCGGTCGTGGTTGCCTATTTCCGGCGAACTTAGGTAAGCCTTTCGATTTTTGCATGCAGAAATTAGAATTCTCCGATTAAGTTGTTTATTTATCAATTTTGAATTTGTCTGTCTCTTCAGGGGGATTTTGATTATTATCCATGGATTGAATGAACACAGGTGAAAAAATCAATCCTTTTTTTTTGTGTCTCTGTATTTCGATGAATCCCTAAATGAATGTGTGAATTGTTATTAATTTGCAGTGGAAGATATTCTCAATTCGCCAAGCAGTTGAACTCTAGTAATTTGGGTGTATACGCAATGGACTGGATTGGTATGAAGACAAGCTTGTTTTGTTTCTTTTCATTATTCATATTGTTCTGAAACTGTGAGTCTGAACAGGTCGCAATATGTTTGGTCCATAACTGTAATTAGGTCACGGTGGGAGTGATGGTTTGCATGGTTATGTTCCTTCTCTTGATTATGTTGTTTCCGACACTGTAAGTTATCAATCTTATAAACATTACTTTTTGTAGATGAAACTAGAGAAATGTTCCATTTGAAGTTGCTGATCTCTGGTGATTTTGGTGTCTTGATTTGAAATCTATAGGAAGCTTTCTTGGAAAAGATTAGGTCTGAGAATCCGGGGGTTCCGTGTTTCCTCTTTGGTCATTCTACCGGTGGAGCTGTGGTTTTGAAGGTACCTTTGAAGCTCTCTTCAGGATTTCATTGTTTAGAGTGTCCTGATTTATGGTCTACTTTGTATTATATAGGCAGCTTCATCTCCCTCTATCGAAGATATGTTAGCCGGTATTGTCCTAACATCGCCTGCACTTCGTGTCAAACCCGCTCATCCCATTGTCGGGGTAAGTCGTCGTCTCCTTTGCAGTATTTAAGTTAGATGGTTTTCTCATTCTCGGCTGGAGAATTTAGTAGGTTATACATTAACTCATATGTTTCATTGTAGGCAATAGCTCCAATCTTCTCATTGGTCGCACCAAGGTTCCAATTCAAAGGAGCAAACAAGAGAGGCATTCCGGTCTCAAGAGACCCTGAAGCTCTCTTAGCCAAATACTCTGATCCGTTAGTCTACACTGGTCCAATTAGGGTCCGAACAGGGCATGAGATTCTTCGCATAACAGCTTACTTGACCCGGAACTTCAAATCTGTTACAGTGCCTTTCTTTGTTCTCCATGGTACAGAGGACAAAGTCACTGATCCACTAGCTTCACAAGACTTGTATAATCAGGCTGCATCAGTTTTCAAAGACATCAAACTCTATGACGGTTTCTTACACGATCTTCTCTTTGAACCTGAGCGTGAGGAAGTCGGTCGTGATATCATTGATTGGATGATGAAGCGGCTTGACGATGTTAACGGATCTGCAGCTGGGATCTGGTAAAAGATCAAAGGAGACATCAGAGGTCTTCATCTTCTATAGATAGTTGTGATACAAATGGTGTGATTGTAAAATCAGAAACCAAGTGTAGGGGATACATATAAAATGGGTTTAATCTATGAATTGTTTGATTTTTGATATTCGCTGTGACGATCTTTTGGGCCTATTTTGAAGGGCATTGTTGCCCATTGAGCCTATATGGCTATTATATTATATGTAAATATATTTATTTTTTATTTTTTGGGCAATGTAATATGTATATTTATCAATGTAAATTTGGGTGGATTTTTTCATTTTTCAAATTTAAACTTGGCCTTCTTCTTTTTTTTGTCAACTTGAACTTGACCTTTGAAATAGCATTTTAAGAAACTTGTTATGGTTATTTTTTTTTAATAACAACTTATTATGGTTCTTCAGACCAAATAGAAATTGATATTTATTTTATCTAATATCTACTATATTAAAACGGAAAAATTTCTTAAAAATAACTTTTATTGTGTTCATACTTGCATGCTATTAGAAAATATTTGTAATCCTACCATTTACCTAAATTATTTAAGGTTTTCAATGATAAATTACACATATATTTACATTTTTTAAAACAATTTCCAAATGTTAACGGATCAGCCGCTGGCCTCTGGTAAAAGATCAAATACGACATCAGAGGTCTTCTTTTTCTCTAGGTGGTGTGATACAAATGTGTGATTGTAAAATCAGAAACCAAGTGTAGGAGATACATATATTATGGGTTTAATCTAGGAATTGTTTGATTATTGATTTTTTCCGTATAATGGATGAAGATATGTATGTGAATACGTATTTCGTACATACTCTATTATCATTGATACATTAATGAGCTTTTAGTTTTGAGTCATGTGTGTGTTACCTTTATTATAAAGATATTAAGAATTATCAGTATCCTAAATTCCGAATAGAGTTTATCCTAATTTAGGGAAAGAGTTTCTGATTACGTATGTACATATTATAATTTAGGGTAAGGTTTTTAAGGTCTATGGTCTATTTAACTACAGATTTTAGAGTTTCAAATATAGACGTTTAGAGTTAATTTGGGGTTTGCATTGCATTGGTATAGGGTAAGGGGCTATATATAGGGTTTACCAAATGAATGTGGCTGTGTGTTACCTTTATTATAAAGAAAAATCCCATTGGATTAATAGCTTTTAACTAAAAATCTAAGGACCAATAAAGAGATAGTATTTTTTTTGTTTGTCATCAATGCAATATACACAATAGGAAAATTCTTATGATTTTTTTTTATATTAAAATTATATTAATATTTGTGCTTATTATTTAATAAAAAAATCAAGTGGGATAATAAAAGGAGAAACTTTTAATATAATATATATGAAACTGCTAATAAGAAAAAGTTATAATAAATGAGAAAAACCATTAATATAAAAATAAATTCAGAACATTAAAGTATTTGAAGAATATCTTTTAACTGGACCAGTAATAATCATATGATAAGATTTTAGTAACAATCATATGATAAGATTTTAAAATTTCTCTTTTTTTTCCATGTGGCTCCGTAAACCTTTTAAAATCTTATCATATGATTATTACTAATAACCATAAACGAGAAAGAAAACAAAATTGACAAGTGGATTGAACATCCTTAAGACCTTAACTATTATAAATACCTAAGTATTTGGTGTGTATATGTAGATCTAACAAGACAAAAAATATTAGAAAACTTTCGAGAATATTGGTCTCAAATTCATGGATTTCGTTCTCAAATTCGTCGCATTCATCTTTATTCTTTATGTAGTTCAATCTACAGAAACCGTAATGAAATCTATTAAGGTAATTGAAAGAATAATAATACATATATGTATATAAGCTATATAGACATCCAACTCTTAAAATAAAACTATGTAGATTGATTTACAGTATTAATCTCAAATATATTTTCCACAGTTAAATGAGAACATCATATATGATTGTGTGGATATATATAAACAACCCTCGTTAAGTCATCCACTTCTCCAAAACCATAAAATTCAGGTATCCATTCATCAAAAAATAATATTTTCATACATGTTTTATGTTTTTGCTTCCCAACCTTGTTTATTTTTACATTTGCTTTGTAGTTAGAATATATTTGAAGAATTTGATATGCTTATATACGTATAATAATCTTTTGCTTAAATTTTAAGCAAGATTACTATTTTCTATTTTATTGGTTTTGCATATAACAGGCTAATATGACTCAGAAAATCATTATACCTCATGACAAACCATCCAATAAATGTTTTTCATTATTAGTTAGTCTTAGTTTAAATTTTTTTATCGGCTCTAATATATATCTTTTAACATTAAAAAAGTAAATTTTTATTAAATAAAAGTTGATTACATAAGTTTACTGCTAACTCAATATATACATTATGTGGAAATGAATTTTGAAATTTTCAACAAAGTTTTTTTTTTTTGTATAAAAAACATAATTTAGAGTTGATTGTTTTAATTAACTTTTAAAGTAAGAACTCTTGTTGTTTGTGCAAACTTTTTTGGATAATATCTAATATGTTTTAGTTTCCACATCACGTATTTATCGCCTATAATTAAATTTTTTTGAATAGATGAAACCATCTTTTTCGATCTCTAAACCAAAAAGTCAAGTTAAAAATAAAATTAAGGGTAGAAAGATCATCGAATGTCCAAATGGAACGGTTCCTATATTAAGAAATACAAAAGAATATGTCGCAACAGCTCAATATTGGGAGAAAAAGCACTTCAACCCGCTTACCGTCCAAAGTCATGGAACACATGTAAGCAAATATACTTGAATTACTTGAGTTACAAATGTGTATATTTGGAAAATATGTATGATATATTTTTGTAAATTTGAAGTTTGCTGGAGTTAAATCACAAGGTGATGGTCCTTATCATGGGTTGGCAGCTTATATGAGTGTGCATGATTTGAATATTAGTAGGGACCAAACTTCATATGGTACCCTTTTTGTTGGTAGTGGAGACAACAATAAAATTAATTTTATTCAAACCGGATGGATGGTAAATTTTATGTTTATGTTATTAAATTCTATAAATATTAAATTTTATATATATATATATATTGGTTGTAAAAATAGGATACATTACTTTGACTTATAGGTGAATCCAAGTTTATTTGGTGATGGACGTACATGGAGTTTTGGGATTTGGAAGGTACATCTAGAATTACAAATACTTCTTTATCTCGTTTTCTATAAAATCCTAATTACAAATTAAACGCTAAATATTCTCTGAATTTTCTTTTGTAATTATATACCCTTTTGATTGCAAAATAAATATATAGGAAAATAATTTGACACTTAATTAGTTATTCCTTTAGTAGGTGTTTTATGCTTCTATCTTTCAATGTACATTACTTTTTACTATTTTTCAATTATCATATGGATTACATTAATATATTAAAATTAAATATTGGCAGGGTGCCAACGGAACTGGTTGTTTTAATACAATATGTCCAGGTTTTGTTCAAGTGTCAAAAACTGATCCTTTAAGTGGACCTTTTCCATATCCTGTACACAAAGGACAAGAAAGAGCTGTTTATGCTAGTATTGTACAGGTAATATATATACATTACATTTTAGTAGCAAATATGTTATGTTGGTAAATCAAATCTGACATGTAGGTATTTTTTTAATTATATATTGAAGGAAAAAGATGTAGGAAACTGGTGGGTAACCGATGTAAGATATAACGGACCAGATGTGCATATCGGTTATTGGCCAAAAGAACTATTTGATCTTATAGGTAATAGTGTAGACATAGTTGGAGTTACAGGAGCAGTCCAGGCTTCTCCTTCCGGTATAAGTCCACCAATGGGTAATGGTCATCTACCAACTGAAGATGAAAATGAGTCTGCACACGTCAAAGGCGTTCAAATAGTACATTCTGATTTTAAATTTAGTAAGAAACTGAAGTTAGAAAAACTATTAGACAACAACATATGTTATGGCTTAAAAGATGGAAAGAAGCATCTTTTTAAAGAATCCAATTTGTTCACGTATGGTGGACCTGGTGGTAACTCTTGTGGAATCTAATATTACGAAAATAATGTTATCGGTTATTAGAATAAATAAATAATTTGGACTTCATGTTTTATGTTCAAATATTTAAATATCTATGTATCCGGATTTTGTTTTTCCTACCTGTGATCATTAGTATAAATTGATACTACAAAGTTGCTATATTTCCATTATAGCGACTAGCGAGTATATTCTAACCTATCAAATACTCAAACAACTAAACAATAAAAAATAATAATCAAAGACTGATTGATATGGTTCAAAAGAACAGTCCTAATTTTGGTTTTATCAAACTAGTAATAACAGTTCGGAGGTGACCTTAGCTTTTGTCTAAGTATAGCTCTAGATATGTATATTTATGATTTACAACTTCCAGATTTATAAATTAAGCTGCTACCGAACTGCTACGTGTATCTTTCTAACTTTTTCTTTATAATTTGCTTATGTTTTCCTCATTTTTTGCATATATTTTTCTAACTTGTTTTCTTTTAATCTTATTTCAAATTTTGTAAACATATCATTATATATAAGTTTTTTCCACTTAGAATATCGCATAACTATACTTCTTAGAAATATTTCTACCAAACCCAAATAAGGTAAAAGGAAATAACGCTGATACCACTTTCAATTTTTAACCTAAAGATGACATTTTATTATCACAAAGAAAATACGAAAATAGAGAGAACCAATTTCAATACTGAATTCTCTTCAGAGTTAAAATGAAAGGAGAGAGATAAGATAAGGAATGAATCTAGAGGTGATTATTTATAGGGACTGAGAGTGGTTAAAGAGTCGCATTTGGTGTGCTGCTTTCTAACCATCTTAGTGTAAAACAATAATGATCTGATCAATAATGTGCTAATTTCTTTTTCAAAAAAAAAGTGCTAATTTATATAAGCGACACTTGATAGATAAATAATTGCTTTTCGAACCATCTCGTGTTAGTTTTAATTGCATTTTTAACCATTTATTTAACCCGACTTTTTTAATTATTTTTGTATTTTGTGTTCTATATAGATAAAGCGGCATATACCCAGTGTAAAATTGGTCTCCAACGAGCTCCATCTTATGCTACTAAATCTAATCAAGACCATAATAAGTAGATACTATAATACATTTTTAAAAATTAATTCTTTAGACCAATTTGTAGTTTAGTTATTCATGTTTTAAATATAAATTGGAATCATATTGAAATTGAGCCTTCGTCATGTACATACATGAAATCAAAAATAGGTAAACCAAGAACTAATCTATTTTGAGATATAATCATACAGTGTCGAATCAAATCTTCTAAATGATTAAAAAATGATAATTTTCAATAAGTTATAACTCGTGTTATTTTTTGGTTGATTGCTTTCTAAAATCTTGAAATTATATTTTTTTGTTTGAAAGTAGAAGTGTAACTGTTTGAAAAAAAGGAAAAGAAAAAAGAGTTAATGTAAAGGTTTAACAAGGAGAATAAAAGTAGACAATGATAATATTTTAATTTGAAGTAAAATTATTTTGAACGCTATTAATGGTGATTGCGTTTATTGGCATTCGGCAGCAAGTAAACAAGAGACGACGAAAAAAAGGAAAAAGGAGTTGTAACTCTTAATTTCACGTAGAGAATCTAACGTTCAAAACTAGAAAAAGAGATAGTGATCACGAAAGGAATTAACGGGTGAGATGGAGAGAGAGATATATGACTTATAGACTGTTATATAACACATACTTGTTTTGTGTCCTCCTCTCCTAGATTTCTTCTTTACCCAACTGAGAAAATAAAAATCTCATAATCGAAAAAGGGTTATATATAGATGCACAAGAGATGACCTCAATCACCTGAGAAGAATCATATTCAATAAGCAAAAATCGGAAGCCCAAGCTCATCTACCATCTCTATAGGTACGTACTTAGACACTGCTCTTGCACAAAAAGCAACCAGAAAGAGGTAAGAGAAAGGAGAAACAAATCCTAAGACCAGAAAATTGATCAATTCCTCACCGTACCTGGATCCCAAATTCTTGAGAGCAATTGCTTTGTTTTTCAACACCAACAAGATTTTTCTTGAGATGGTAGAATGCGGCAGAGACAAACCCTCATGATACAGACGATTACGCTCTTTCCACAACTCATAAATTCCTCCTTGCCAAGCTTGAGAATTGGCACTCGAAGAATAAATGATTTCGGCTCTCGGGATGAGAATTGGCATGCTCTCTTTATAATATTTGTCCTCACCTCTTTCTTCACATTCATTTTGGTTTTATCAAACTAGTAATAACAGTTCGAATGTGACATTTTGTCTAAGTACAGATCTAGATATGTATATTTATGATTTACAACTTTCAGATTCATAAATTAAGCTTTTGTCGAACCGCTGCTTGTACCTTTTCTAACTTTTTCATTATAGTTTGCTTATGGTTTCCTCATTTTTGCATAGTTTTTTTTTCAACTTGTTTTCTTTTAATTTTATTTCAAATTTTGTAAACATATCATCATTAGATATAAGATTTTTCCACTTAGAGTGTCGCATCACTACATACTTTTTAGAAATATTTCTACTAAACCCAAATAAGTTAAAAGGAGATAACGCTGATACCACTTTTAATTTTTAACCTAAATGTGATGTTTTATTATCACAAAGAAAATACGAAAATAGAGAGGTTGAATCAGCTTGGTTACGACGATATTATGTATAGCAAATTAGCAACCTTTTGACTTTATAGAAGTGAGAAGCGATGATTAAGAGGTCAAACAAATGAAACATATATGGAAAGTAAACTTTGAAAAATATAGGAGTTGGTGAAGAAAATGAACATATTGGAGTCGAGGATTCCCTAATATGTTCTAGAAAATATGAGCTTTTGGCAACTATAAACGCGTCTTGGTCATATTAGATTACCTTTGTATGAACACAAGAAAAATATTGGAATGACTGCAAGGAAAAGAAAAAAAAAACAAATATTGGTCAATGGAAAAGTAAGTGGAGACAATAAAAGGCGAGCAGGGAAACCTCAAACCTCAACGCTTTCTTATTTTAAAATTATCGAACACTGCAAAAAAAAAATGCTTATTTCAAAACGAACATAATCAACATATGTGCTTACTAGTTATGAATAATTAATTAATTCATGCACTAATAGCAATCCTTCTCCATGATCGTTAAATTAATTATTACTAATGGACTTTAAGCATTCCTTACACTAATAATGACAGTTTGGTACCTATTTGAGGTGGGTTTTACTATTACAAATAATGACAGTTCGGTACCTACATTTGAGGTGGGTTTTTTCTCTGTAATAGTTTATTTGGAAATTTTACTTTTCTTAAAATTATTATTTAAAAAATTATTATATATATATTCAAGTTGGGGGGTCCAATATGGCTGCCAAGTTTGATGTTCCTCTCCGACACATCCCCGCAGCCTCAAATACAATTATCTGTTTTTTTTTTGGTTTGTGACATTGTACAATTATTATGATTTGTTTCAACATCATCGTATCTTTTTTTTTTAAATTAAATAGAGGGAAAAGGATCATATATGTACATATTTAACAATTCAGAATGTATTATCGCACCGAGTTTTATAAAAGCCCCATATTCAACTTTTGTGGTTTGCCACTATTGTTCTTTCCTATAAATCTTTTTTTTTTTTAGTTCAGCATCTTAAACTGAAATAAATTTGTTATATTTGTTGGTGGAATAGTTGGAGGAAGAAAACAATAATGAAAAAGTGAAAGTTGTCTAAATAAAAAAAACGAAAAAAACGAGAGAAAATAATTGAAAAAAGAAACAATAAAAAAAAGAGAGGTAATGGATTAGGAGAGGGACCTACAACGAGGGAAGGATGACTCCGTCTAGGCATGACCAAAAGCTAACCGTAACCGTATTTCGGACCGTAACCGGACCGTTTCTCAACCGTAACCGGACCGTAACCGTATAAAACGGTTAAAAACCGTAACCGTTAACCGTCAAAACAGATTAGTTACGGTTAAAAAATATACTAACCGTAACCGTCAATTAACCGTAAACGTGTCAAAACCGTTAGTTAACCGTACGGTTAACCGTACGGTTAACCGCACTATTAACCGCATAGTTAAAACTTTAAAAATACGATTATAGCTGCGGATGTTGCAAAAACAAATTTCGAATGTTCAGATAATGATTTTCAAAAAAGGTAAATGATACCGCACATTAAAAAATCTATGTTAGGAAAAATGGTTTGTTTCTCAAACAAATATGTTCTAATGCTATATTGCTAAAAATGAAGAAAATTTGGTTTATAACATACTTTTTTATTCTATTCAAAGTAGTATAATAAGTTAGATAACTCGTAAGATTTTACCTTCGATATTAACCGTATCGTAATCATCAAATAACCATAACCGTATTTAACCGTAACCGTTGTAACCGTAACCGTATTTAACCGTAACCGTTTTAACCGTATATATAATGGTTAAGGTTACGGTTAAAGAAAATTTATAACCGTAACCGGCGGTTAATCGACCGTAACCGTAATAACCGTAACCGTGGTCATGCCTAACTCCGTCCACGTTCTTCTTCACAATTTGACAATAAGCTCCAATTTTCAGACTTTTCATTTCAAACTCTGTGTTGTGTGTCATTTTCCTTTGCCTATATAAATCCACTATCCTCTCTTATGTGTTTCCATCATCATTCATTCACATAAAAACTATCTTCTTGCTCATTTTTCATCATATCAATCTACTCTGTAAACTTTGCTTCCTCTGTTTCTTCATTTCTTGTGTTAGCTCATAAGAGATATGGGAAGTACTCCAACTGAATTACCCTGTGAGGATGTCGCCGATAACAGATCCGGCGTTGGCGGTGGTATTTCTGACGTCTACGGTGAGGATTCCGCCACCTTGGACCAGCTTGTCACCCCTTGGGTTACCTCCGTCGCTAGGTGAGTCAACCCATCTTTAGATCTCAATCATACCCTTTTGTTTTACTCTTGTGATCTATCACAATTGCTTCAGCTAAGTAAAGTTCGTTTTTTAAAGTTTCTAAACTTACCAACTTCTGTGAAATGTCAACTTAGTTTTTTGTTGGTGTTAAAGTTCCGATTTTTCAGTGGATTGAAATGTTTATTTTTTGTTCAGTGGCTACTCGTTGATGCGTGATCCGAGATACAACAAGGGACTTGCATTTACTGATAAAGAAAGAGATGCTCATTACTTAACTGGTCTTCTTCCTCCTGTGGTTTTGAGTCAGGATGTTCAGGTAACTTGAGGTTTTACATAAAAGAACTCACTTTTGTTTAGTTTTGATTTTGGTTTTGTTTTGTGTTAACTTGTGATTTGTGGTTGATTAACTAGGAGAGAAAGGTGATGCACAATCTCCGTCAGTACACTGTTCCTCTACAGCGTTACGTGGCCCTGATGGATCTTCAGGTGATTGATTGTTCTTTCGAATTTATGTTTAGTAATAAAGAATGTGTCCAAGGACTTTTTTGCTTAGTTTTTTTTTCTCAACTGGTGGCTTATGTATCTGAATCTTGCAGGAAAGGAACGAGAGGTTGTTCTACAAGCTTTTGATTGATAACGTTGAGGAGTTGCTTCCAGTTGTGTACACACCAACAGTTGGTGAGGCTTGCCAGAAGTATGGAAGCATTTACAGGAAGCCACAGGGTCTCTACATCAGTTTGAAAGAAAAGTGTGTTTTAAAATCTCTTTACAAAGTCACTTCCTTTTTGTTTCTTTGAGACACTAATGTGAATGAATGTTCTTTAGGGGCAAGATTCTTGAAGTGTTGAAGAACTGGCCCCAGAGAGGGATCCAAGTTATCGTTGTTACAGATGGTGAGCGGATTCTCGGTCTGGGAGATCTTGGTTGCCAGGTAATAAATGAGTTCTTGAGTTATAACACTTAAAGCTTAATCCCATTTTATGTCGAAAATCCACATTGTATCATCTGTTTGAACGATTGTAATATTTTCCAGGGAATGGGAATTCCAGTAGGGAAACTTTCTCTTTACACTGCTTTGGGAGGAATCCGTCCATCAGCTGTAAGCACTAGAACAAAAGCTGCTCTAGATATTGGTTCTACTTGATTGATTATTCAATAACCGTTTTGATCCTAAATGAAAATCCGCTTTCAAATGCAGTGTCTTCCAATCACCATTGATGTGGGTACAAACAATGAGAAGTTGCTAAATGATGAATTCTACATTGGCCTTAAACAGCGAAGAGCAACTGGCCAGGTTTACTAATCTGTTTCCTATTAGTGCTTTCTCTTCTTATAACTTATACTATGATTTTTCAGAAACTGAGAAGTCTATTTGCTTTTGTGATTCAGGAATATGCTGAGTTCCTCCACGAGTTCATGTGTGCTGTTAAGCAGAACTATGGAGAGAAAGTGTTGGTACAGGTGAGCCATAAAATCAACTCTCTTAAGAACTATGATTGTTGTTATCGTTCTTTGTTAAAGATGTCTCGGAATTAATATCATACATACTCTTCTTTTCAGTTTGAAGATTTTGCAAACCACAATGCCTTTGACCTTTTGTCTAAGTACAGCGATAGCCATCTTGTTTTCAATGACGATATCCAGGTAACATCTTCTCCTCAAGATTGATCTTTTTTCTTAAATTTTGGTTGAGGTACCAAAGAGCTTACCAAGAACTTGTTTTTTGTTTTGTGTAATTGCAGGGTACTGCATCCGTGGTGCTTGCTGGGCTTATTGCCGCTCAGAAGGTGCTTGGTAAAAAGCTGGCTGACCATACCTTCCTGTTCTTGGGTGCCGGAGAGGTGAGACAAGAATGCATCATACTCTATAAGCTTATTATTCTTGCATTTATTTTTTGCTGCTTACACTTTATCTCACTGGTTCTTTGAAGGCTGGAACCGGTATCGCTGAGCTAATTGCTCTTAAGATTTCAAAAGAGGTTAGTCAATCTGGGGGATTTCTTGCATTTGATCTGTTTTTTGGCTAAGATAATGTGATTGATCATATCTCGTTTTTTTTTGTAGACTGGAGCTCCAATCGCTGAGACCCGGAAGAAGATTTGGCTTGTGGACTCCAAGGTATAGGCGCCAACCACCAAGATCAGTCTCATCATTTTTAGCTAAACCATTCTTGTTCATATATGTTCCTCTTTTGAACATTATTTTGCAGGGACTGATCGTTAGCTCGCGCAAAGAATCTCTTCAGCACTTCAAGCAGCCATGGGCACATGAGCACGAACCCGTGAAGGACCTCATTGGTGCTGTTAATGTACGCGATGAACTGATCTTTAACTTGCTTGATAGTGAATAGAGAATCTTGATGTTAGATGTCTTATTCTTGTGTTCACTGTTTGTTGAAACTTTTTTCAAACAGGCAATCAAGCCAACCGTTCTCATTGGAACATCCGGTGTTGGTCAGACTTTCACAAAAGAAGTTGTCGAGGCCATGGCTACCAACAACGAGGTTTCTTCTTGTTCTTACTCTCTGCTTTTTTCAAAAAACAAGGTATTCTGCTATTTTTCTAATGCTGGTCTTGGTGTTGGCTTATAGAAACCGTTGATTCTTGCTCTCTCAAACCCTACTTCTCAAGCCGAGTGTACCGCAGAGCAGGCTTACACATGGACCAAGGTATACTGCCTTATATGACATCTGAATGTGATTCATGTCCTGACTCCTGATTATATAACAAAAGTATAATTTGGTTTTCATGCCGCTCGTCAAATCTAATCATATATATTGTGCTTAAAACAGGGTCGTGCAATCTTTGGAAGTGGAAGCCCGTTTGATCCTGTTGAGTACAATGGCAAAACTTACTTGCCTGGCCAGGTTCGTGCTATTTCAACAACTTCTTCTCTCTCAACTTTGTATATTTGACAATCTGAGTGCTCACATCATATGTCCACCATCCTACTTAACTTCAGGCAAACAACTGTTACATTTTCCCGGGTCTGGGTCTTGGTTTGATCATGTCTGGTGCAATTCGTGTCCGTGATGACATGCTCCTCGCAGCTTGTAAGTAAAAATAAACATCAGAAAATCAAACTTGAATACTGATGAATTATGACACACTTAAAGATTCTCAATGTCAACTCTCTTTGACTAACTAGTCTATCTCTGTTTTCTACAGCTGAAGCATTGGCCGCACAAGTCACAGAAGAGCATTTCGCAAACGGTCTGATCTACCCGCCATTCTCAAACATCAGAGAGATCTCTGCTAACATTGCAGCCTGTGTCGCCGCCAAAACCTATGACCTCGGTTAGTTGAAAGAAACTTTTTTAATGAGAGTGTCTTAACTCTAGTCATAAGTTCTAAATCGATGTATTTGTGGTGTAGGATTGGCGTCGAACCTCCCACGTGCAAAGGATCTTGTCAAGTTTGCAGAGAGCAGCATGTACAGCCCTGTGTACAGAAACTACCGTTAAAAAAGTTTTGTTGAAGAAAACCTGCAGATTCTTCTATTCACAACCCTTAATAGTTCTTAAGGCTTGTATTTAAGTTTTTTTTTTTTTGTTGTTGTTTGTTTGTTGTTTTGTTTTCGACTTCTACATTGTGATGCTATTTGTGAACTCTCTCTGTCTTTGCTGATGAATAATAAATTGTTACTAATATATAATCTACGAATCATTATTGTCTCAAAGTTACTTTTTTCATCATACACAACACAATCAACTTGTCTTGGAAGGGAATATGCTATTGTTCTACAACTTGTATCTTATTGCCTGAAAGTAAAACTAATTAAGGGAGCTTATTGGTTGTTTTATTTAAAGAACTTGTATAGATTTTCCATTATTTTGAAGAGTTTATCAAAAGTTTCATATAGATTAAAGTATCAATTAGCTGAATACTCTTTTGAAAGTGGTTTTAGCCTTTTGAAAGTGGTTTCTAAGCTCCTAATGATTTTAGCCTTTTAAGTAACTACTTGTTATAAATAGCTAAACCAATAACAGGACATCGTTCTGATATCCAAACCAAAACTAAACCGAAATTGGGCTGAACAGTACCTTAGATTTATTAAGGCCCAAATAGGCAAATAGTATCTGCTGAAATGGGGGATACTGTAATAAAATCAAATTTCGGGCGAAACTCGAACTAAAGAAATAAGTTGAGGGAGTAATAGATAAATGGTAAAAAAGGTTTTTAAGAATAAACCGCGTGGTCATCTCTCTTCTGGAAAAGGCGAGAAACTGTGATCTCGTCCCTTTTATTATTAATCCTTTTCCTCCTTCCTCTTCTTCTTCAATCTCTCCGATCAAAATCCTTTTCAGCTCTCTATAGACCCAGGTATGTTCCTCCAGCTTTCCCGGAAAATTTTAATAGTCTCCTGATCAGAGGTGGCGCGAATATGTTTTCACGGAAAAATTAAGGAATTAAATATGAACACGTATTGTTAAATCCTGGGCTTTGTTTCTGTATTGTAGGAACGGCTTGATTTTTGAATTAGATAATCTCAATGTTATTTGCTCTTTATAGAACTGTTCATGATGCGTAAAAATTGAAGGGTGTCTTTTGCATATCTTAAATTGGAAGCTGATGGTCAGTTAATGTTAATCGGCTCTGGTTACTTGGATCTGTGAATGTTATTTGATAATTTGGAGCATCTTTCTTTGAATTGGGTGATAATAGATTAACATGTCTTATTTGTGTGAGCCTATCTCCATTATTGTTTACATTCTCATTTGTGTGATCAGGTTACACAAAGAAGTAGAACAGAACAAATAATTCGTCTACCCGGCTTGATCAATCTGAACTGCAGTTCATGGCGCTAAACCCTCAATTGCTACCCAATGGGATACCTATTCCCTTTGTTAATGAAATGTTCGTTCTAGTCAGAGATGGTGTTGAGTTTGAAGTCGACAAGATCCCTGGGTTCGTGTTCCCTCTCTCGTTTCTCGCATGTTTTGGATCTGCTTAAGTGCTTTATTGATTTGATGATTATTGTGGGATTCCATTTCTTAGTCGGTTTAGATCCATTCATCTAGCATATGAACCATTAAGTTTACTTGTAAATAAGTTATGTCTCAGAAGTGAACAGACATATGAGCTATGGGTGTTAAACACTTCCCTGATGTTCTTTTTTTTTTGGTTTGATCCAGAGGGCATGGAGGTCATGTTAAGGCTAAGGGAGTGATTTACTTGTCTAATATACGGATGGTCTTTGTTGCAAGCAAGCCTGTTGACAACTTTGTTGCTTTTGACATGCCCCTGGTACAGTAACTTTATCTTATGTTTTTCTCTTATATAGTTAATACATGGCACAAGTAAAGCTCTATTAAATTTGATTAAGGAAATTCATGCTATATATTAGCTTATGTATTATATGTTACTCTGTAGCTTTACATCCATGCCGAGAAATTCAATCAGCCAATATTTCACTGCAACAATATTTCTGGACAAGTGGAGCCTGTAAGTACAGACTTTCATGAGGAAGTTACAATATTTTTTCTTGCCAGGAAACTAATATATAGATTTACTTATTGGCATGTAATAAAATTTCCAGGTGGTGCCAGAAAACGAGCATAGAGCTTTATATTCAACACACAGTTTCAAGATCCTATTTAAGGAAGGTGGTTGCGGGACATTTGTTCCTCTCTTCTTGAATCTCATATCATCAGTGAGACAATACAATAGACAAATGCAACAAGCAGCAGAAGCAGCAGCGGCAGCTCCACGTGTCGACCCTCTTCAAGCTGCTCAGACCCCTGTAGACGAAATGATGAGACATGCGTAAGTCCCCTCTGAATCAATCGAAAGGTTTTTTGATAGTAGTAAAATCTGTTGTTTCTCATAAAATCTTGTGTGGTCGTCATTGTGTATGTGCAGGTACGTGGACCCTAATGATCCAACGAGGATATATTTGCAGCAGCCATCAGGGGAATCTCAGTTGAGGCGGAGAGCTTACCATTCGGGTGCAGCGGAACATTGAGATACATGAAAAATACAAAGTCTATGAATACAGAAACAGCAACAGATTAGTGTTGCAAATAAGCAAATGTGTTGTTGGTTTGTTTAAACTTGAAAACTAAAACCATCTGTGTAAAAAAGATGAGACTTGTTGGGTGTGTGGATGTATCTGGTAAAATTGAAGTCGTAATAATCATAAGTTTGGTTTATATATTGAACAAAATGTGGGGCAAAAACCCTGCCGGTCGGCCTGAACCATGAAAAGTCGGTTTAGGCTGATCCGCATGCTCAATTTTATTCAGCTTAACCGCAAACTGCCAATACTTGAGTTTGTAGTGAGTAAGCGACGGTATTAGCGACAAAACCAGAAAACATGTTGATATCTTGCAAGCTAAAACCCAATGGACTAAGATTTAAGTGGTTTTTTTTTTCTGACAAAAAATTGTAACTCTAGGCATAGCAATTGTCTAGTTCTGCAAAGCGACAGTGGTCCAATTAGGAGGAGCGAGAGCGGAGGTACGAGTGAGGATCTACAATTGTCCATCGTTTTGACCTATAAACCCTAGTCTCAGGGGGGGCTCGCGACGCCCTCTCTGATCAGAAGCGACTTCATTCATATAGTTCACTAGAATCTGCTGCTTCTTTTCTGGTTAGTGTTTAACCAAGCTCCGTTTTGTTTGCTCTTAATCGAATCAGATTTTCTATTATAGCTAGATTGGTTTCTTTGATGTATATCTATGGTATTCGGATTCTTGTGCTGAGCTCAATTCATTAGCGGAGGATTTCTTAGGTTCGATAATATATCCTTGATTACATATTCGTCACTATCCAAAATTTGCAGCTTTTTATGTTCCTAGTTTGTTCTTAAGATTATTGGTTCATTCAGTTGTGTTGTTGTGCCTCTGTCCTTCATCCGTAGAAACTAGCATTGTCATTGGCTTGAATAAGCTGCTTGATGATGTTTTAGATGAGTGAATTCTTGAGCTTCCTTTTCATTTCTTCAGGTTAAGAGCAATACTAATAATAATGCATACTCTCGATGGTGTTTTGCAGCAAGAGAATCAAGGTTTTCTATTGATTTATGGACACCCAGAAGAAATCTGAGGAACATGGCCTTTACCATATAGTCAATAGTACCGGTGGTGCATTTGGAGCGGGCGCTGTGGGAGGTTCTGTATATCATTTCATAAAAGGGTCATACAATTCCCCAATAGGTGCTCGTTTTGTTGGAGGAACACAAGCGGTGACGATGAACGCTCCTCGTTTGGGAGGCAGTTTTGCTGCATTTGGAGGATTGTTCTCCACATTTGACTACGCAATGGTGTGCATCAGGAAGAAGGAAGATCCATGGAACTCGATCGTAGCAGGCGCTGCTACAGGAGGACTTCTTGCAATGCGACGTGGGATTGTTGCAGCTTCAACATCAGCGGTTATGGTAGGGGTTTTGTTTGCTTTGATGAAAGGGCCTGCGTTGTGAACAAGTAAGCTTTTCTGGGATTGTTGTGTTTGATGAGAGCCTCTCTCTCTCCCCTTTTTTGGCTTGGGCTTGATGAGATAATGTCATTTAGATTTTCATGATAATTGCCTTTTTTAATTATAAAATACTCCAAAATTACTGGTTCATGGAAGTTTAACAGATTTCGTGGTATGGCTGTGTTTGATCATTTTTGTATAGACGTCATCAAGATATAATTATGGCTATTCAAGTGTTCCTTTTTGAATAGCTTTTCTTTTAAGTAGATGAAATCTCAGGGGAAAACCATTTGGGAAGAGGAAGAGGTAATGAGTCAATGTGTGAATCATGAAGTCATAGAGCTCGAAAGTCAAAAAGTTAAAAAAAAATCCGTGAATTTGATGATTCTGATAAAATCCTTAATAAAGTCCAACTAATGCACACATACCAAATGAAGAACCAAATCCATTCTTGTTAAATATACACTAAAAAACAACTCAATTGCACTGAGGCAGATATAATAAGCACAGCCTCAAGTAGATAGATCATTTTGGTTTCTCACTTATTTACATACAACCTTAGGAGGATCTTCACCAGTCACCAACACGACCATATCCACTCAAAACCAAAAGCTCGGAGAGACCCAAGAAACCCAAACAGGATCTTTAGATTACAAGTTTTGTCCCTAATTACATCCCTCAAATAAACTTGTTTTCTTTTTCTTTTAACAATCAGAGTTCCTTCTCTTTTGTATCCTAATTCTATTCACCTGGAGTAATAGAATTACAAGAAGAGAAACAAACAAAACAAAAAAAACAAACTGAAATCCCCACTCCAAACTTGGGGCAGGACTGTTTTTAGTTGTTCTGAGAAAAATTACCTGACAAGACTTTGTCACGACTGCCAAAACAGCTCATAATCCTTACTATACAACGAGCGGTCTTGTATCTCCAGGTTTGCTACATGTCGATTTATGAGCTGCGATTGCATTATCTTACACACGACCAGTCCTGCTGGGAATATCCACCATTCACTTTCACCCCTGCATCCCCCAAAAAGGTACAGACATCACAAACCCAATAAACAAAACATAAGATTGTCACAGAGAAAGAGACTCTTTCCTAGTACTACTTTGCATAGTAGGTAAAACTCACATGTTTATATTCCACGGCTGAAATGGGATTTTCTTGCTAGCTGATGATTCACTGTGATAATGAACATATCCGCAGAGAAAAGCAACAAACTGTCACAAAACCAAAACTCGTCAGATAATGTGAGAATGCAGCATGTTCTAAAGAATCAACACCCATAATGTCCACAGATATAACTATTCTATTTATCCTCATGTGAATTGAGCCAAAAAGTTCACATTGCATTTCTTCACATAACAAGTTGTCAACAAAGAAAACTTACCACATTGACTAAGGACATGAAGTTCCACAATGCGTAAACACGTGCTAAGCCAGCAGAGCGTCTGGGTCCATGACTGAATAAGGCATTAATCCCGGCAGGGAATGGCAGAAGCAAGCCGAGAGGTAATATGAACAAAGCCAAAAGTACATCCAGCAAAGAAATTGAATACAGCTGGAGCAGTGTGAGCAAGACTAGACTAAAATCTCCTAAAAGTAACATCGAGATAACTAAGCCAACCATATCCTGCAATACCAAAGAACATAACAGAGGGGAGAGACATTAAAATTCTAGAAAAGTTGAACGTCACAACATTTAAGAATACATTCATACCATAAAGATTTTGACTGGGTACGTACCTGGTGGCCCACAGGTTTTGTGTTGTGAACTAAGAAAGAGAGAAGGAAAAACATATCTCTCTTCTCTTTCAGACTCGGTAAGCTGTCAAGGTCGATTATCCCTCCATAGTTCTTTCTGCGTGTCGTATAATCCTCGGTGTTTGTGTGGGTTTGGTTGAAGAGCATACTCTCTCTCAAATGTGCTGGAGAATTTTCTCTATGTGCATTCAGGCCATAACTAGAAGTTACAAAAACAAGACATCAAAAATCGGCATAACTAGAAACGAAGTGCATTACAAAAACATGCTAAACGGTGACATCACAAAAGAAATCTTAAATTTCTAGAGTGATCAAGAAAGAATTGTGATCATTTTGTTTATCTAGATTTCTCAGTTCATATTTTCTATTCAACTTAAACCAACGCAGCACATACAGAAGAAAGAATGGTATCATGACTATTGTCACCACGAATGGACCCTAAGATGGAATAGACAGACAGACTGCATGCAATTTCTCATTCATTTACCGTGGCTGGATTTCAGTCCATGCTGTTTCATTGACACACTGAGGTGATGTTGGTTCACAATCCTCAACTGTATGAATCAAGAGACCATATTGGCAGTAACCACAAGCTGTAGTCTGGAACCAGGCCAGATCAACCCGTATGCCATGTGTTTCCAGAGCGGGATTAGCATGAGTTTCTAACCATTTCAGAACAGAATGAAATGTTGATCTCAGACGCCCACGGCGAACAAGACGTAATTGAGCATTAACACCAGCCACCAGTCTGTACCAAGTAGTAGGCGAACCAAGCTGGGAAAGTAAAACAATGAGAAAGAATCGATACAACCTTTAACATAACTGCTGAAACTGCTTCTCGTTAACTAAGGAACCAACCTGACTCATCAGACTGGTAAGAATGTTGTCATTTTGAAGTGAGAAAGGAGCCATGTAACTGCCATCACCACCAAACAATATGGGCATTGGTAACCTTTGGTGAAGTCGAGGTGGAAGGTCTGTCCTTTTTTCATCACCACCAAGGAAGAAATCCAGATATGCAAGCATCAAATCGGAGGTTGCAGCGACCTATATTAAAATAAATATATATATATACACTAAACCTTACACCAACAAATCCTTGTAAAAGGAATCAGATATTCTCAAAATATAAAGTCCTGTTACCTTCAGACCCTCGTATAAAGCTCGGGAGCGACAGGAGCGTAAACAGGAGTGATCATATTCTGAACGTACAAACTCACGCAGTTTTTGCAACTTCATCTTCCGCCGCCATTGCTGCCATGACCATGCGAGCGGATATGCAACTACTGAAAGAATACTATATATGGCACCTTCCCACCATTGATATGCAGCTATAGAGTTGATTTCGTCGACAAATGTGTTAAATGCAGCCTCATATCTAAAGAACCCAAAACCAATATAAAAATAGTTCAGAGCCAAGGCCACTTATTAAGTATCTATAGATAAAACAATGAGAAACAATCCTAAATCAGCTTGAAATAAATTAACAAACAACTTACACTATCTCTTTAATCTCCTCCGGGGGAATGTGTGAGAGATGCCACGGCTCACTGAATGTATTAGGACCCATAAAATACATTCTATGCACATGACTCTGAGATTGCTCAGCTCTATTTGTTTCCAACACCTGACAAAGAATAACATTATAAACAGCAGCACAACACTGTAATATAAGGAGTGTTTGGCGGATTATTTTGCTCAATTATGTCTTTTGAACAAACATTACTTGCATCTGGAGTGAAATATCAGCGAATACAAAAAGCATTCTTCATTTGCTTATACATATGAACGCAAAAAGTAAGACACACAAACAGTTTTTCTATACAATGTTTAAACACGAAGTAAATCATCTAACCTCATTAAGTGATTCCAGGAAAGGGAAGGAATGATCTATTTGAGAGCCATGCTGTGTGGGAGCTGGGCCAGGCAAATCATCAACTCCAACAAATTTCATTCGTGCAACACTAAGTACAAGTGCTAAGAGGATGAGGAGACCCATCAGAAGAAGACCAAACAACCAAGGCCCACCGAATGTGTAAATTAACTCCTCGAGTGCGGTGTAACAGTGTGGCATGTGATACCTTTCCGATATGCATCGATATGGACATGGTGTCTCAGAAACGCCACCTGTATAGAAAATTCCAAGGTTTATAGTTGAGACATGAGCATTTCCAGCATCAGTTTATAGGAACTAAATAACACCGTAGCCCAACTTAAATCTTCAACCACACTTAAAATCTGCAGACTTTGTAGTTGAACGGTTTATTCATGATCGTTGCAAAATGAATAGAAAAAAAAATAGGCTTGGTAGTTGAACGGAAAACAAAACTTGTCACTTAAAGTTAGGAAAAGAGTTATAGCGCATATGTAATACACAAGAGGTCAAGATATAAGCGAATGTTATTTATACCTCGAACTGTGACATAGACAGCACGAGTTGGAAGCTCATCAACGGGACAAGGGCGACAAAGAGAAGGGTCGGATCCAGTAACATTCTTGAATGTACCAGATGGGCATTCCTGGAGAAAATAATAGAATTGTGAACACAATGAGCTTCGAAACGTACATTAAAATTCAATCGAAAATAATAGAATTGTGAACACAATGAGCTTCGAAACGTACATTAAAATTCAATCGTGATATAGGGAACAAAAGGCAAATAGAAATTTCGCCCCAGTGATATGATAGAGCAAGAAAATGTTGTATTAAGTTTTTCTAACCTTGCAAAATATACCGTGGAGTCCCTTCGGACAAGCCGTCCCAGTTATTGTACCATTTTTGCCATAAAAACCATCATCCGCTGCTGCTCCCCCTCTACGATTACAATTAGAAAACATTATTAAATGCGATAGGCTGGAAAACGATATCCAATAACAACATAGACATTGGAAATGCAGTCAATAACGGAAAACACATTAATGATTATGGGAACATCACAGTTATATAGAGGACATACCGTGCATGAATTATTCCTTTTACACTAGCAATGGGCTGGTATATGTCCCCAGTCGGAATGTTTGACCAATGAAAATGAATCCTCCCACCTCCGCCACCACCACCACCACCAGGACTGCCAGACCCACCACCACTTGAGAGAAGGGACGACTCTCCTAAAATAAGATAACGCAGGAACAAAAGGACTGTTCCCCCAGAACCACCCCCAGGAGCTACAATAGAACCGTTTTCATCTCTACTCAAACGTTTGACACTTTCTCCATCAACCCTAATTGAGCCTTCAAGTGATAAACCAGATAGAGGCTGCTCCATTGAACCAATCACTGCCCAGATTCAAAGAAAAACAAAGAACAGGTTAAAAGGTATCATCTTGAAAGCAAGCAATAAGCTTTCATGGCAACCACATGTAAGCAAGGTAGT